TTAAATACGTCCATTAATTGCTACGCTTTTTGCATTTATCTTTCCGTTTACTTCTTTTTTTGTTTTAGAACCGCAGAAAAGATAATGTCCTTTTAATTTTTGTATTTATCCACCCTTTGTGGCTACGCTCTGCCATTATCATCGTTAATCGCGTATACATTATGCGATATGATAATTGTATACCGTTTGTTTGTCCCATAATTTATTAATTACGACGCAATTACCAGTAAATTTAATTTTTCACCTTTGTTCCTTCTCCTCTTTTTATATCTCGAGAAGAATGTCTCTCCGACCCTCTTTTCATACTTTTTCCAGCTTTTTATCTCGCCCTTATTGCCGCTTTAATCGTTTAAAAGTCATTATCGTTTGCATGTAATCAGTACTTCCTTAACGTATTTATTAATTACCACGCAATTATCACGTTCCCCTCGTCTTTATCTTCGTTTGTCCCCATCGTCGTCGGGAACCGAGTTTTCCACGACAATTTCTCCACGATATCCTCGTTTTCTTTTCTTTTCTTCATCCTTGATATTCCCTGGCCCTATTTCTCGCTTTGCTCGCGCGTTTGCATGATCGTACTCGCGTGTAATTAGTATTTTCTTAGCGTATTTGTTAATTACCATGCAATTATCGCGTTTTCCCCGTTTATCCTTATCCGCTTCTTTGCCGCTCAGGAAAAAGCGTATCCTTCCGTCTGCTCTCCTCACCTGTTTGAGATCTCACGCTCGCTCGCTGGAGATTAAGTCGCGCTCCTCGCTTTGAGTGCTCTAACGTGAAAGAAGTCGACGAAGTGCTATCAAAAGCGCGAATACAGTAGATTACCTACCGTCTGTAAATTCATTAATTCTCCACATCCTTCTGAGGAACATGACATATTTATCTAATAGCGAGATAAACAACGCAACATCATAATTATTGTCTTGTGAAAGAAACGATTAATTGATTTTTATACCTGTGTAGTTGCACGACATTTTGTTATTTTTAAAAACCAGTAATAATTCCAGTAGCACATTCCACAGTTTTACCGTTCCTAAAAAACGTTTAAAAAATGTTCCGCATTTTTAATAAGGAAAATAAAAATTAAAAAATGACGTGCTAACTACACGTTTCAGTATGGCACATTTCCCTCTAAAGTACTATATCTCGTTAGATATTAAGACATCTGTTGCCGTTAATCTTAAGTTAATTTCATAATTATATAGCGTTTCAAGACAAAAGTGCAGTAATTAATCATTTTCACACAGTTCTGAATATCCTGAATATTCTGAATGATAGCACGATATTCGACGGAAATGTGTTGTGCTGATAATTTTCGATATTTCTGGCGATAGTTCTAGCTTGTTCCGATTAATCTCTACGCGAGCGAATCATTTTCAAAAGTTGTTCCGCCTTTTAAACATTTTTAAAGCAATTTTTACTTTTGCCATCAGCACGGCACTCGACGGAAATGTGTCGTGCTGATAATTTTCAATATTTTTGGTTCGTTCCGAACGAACGTTTTCAATTACACATGAAAAAGTATTCCTATATATTTTTAGAGTTACATTATTGCTTTGAGATGCCCGATTGTAGATCGTAATCTGGACGGTATCCGCAGAGCGGAAAATCTGACCTCGACCCGCGTCAAAGCCGCGGCGATCGAATTTAATCTGACGATAGCCTAGTTTCTCTTCTCTCCTCACCCTTCCTCCCGTGTTTCCTACGCGTTTACTTTTCCTCCTCGGTACCTCGTAGCCAAGGTTCACTATTGAGCCTCTCGCGGGAGGTTCACTTTCCGTCGGGTCCGATCTCTCGTCGGGAGAGGAGATGACGATGCCGCGCCGCACATCGATTACGTTTCTCAACTCGTCCGCGGGGAATCGCCGTTCACGCTTAAGCTATCGCACGAAATGGGTTCGAATTAGCCGCGGAAGCTCTCCGTAGATTGGAAGAGGAGAACTCTCCCTGTGTTTTTCTGGAAAAAACGGATCGCGGAATTTCACCTGGATCTGAAATTCGCTAGGCATCCTCGACGTCGCGCTGCTGCCTCCTTCCTCGGCTCTAATCGACGACGTTCTTGCGGTCTGGAAAAAGGAGCAATCGTCTTCGGAGCAAGCGTGCCTGAAAATCACTGGCTGGTTGGTATTTCAGCCACGAATTCTCTGAGCAGGAGGGCGATTTCAACTTACTACAATTAGTAAAAATGACAAGACGTTTTAATTCCTTCGAAAAGATTACAAATTGATAACGAGATTTTTTTTCTATTTTATTTAAGTATAAATGAGATTTAGATTAAGGAAGTTTTACTTCGTGATATAATATTATAAAAATATGTAATTACAGACATACAGACAATATTACTGAGAAAAAGGTAACTTGTATCTTTACTAAAGAAAAATTGACGAAAATTAGTCATATACAGTATAATGAAAGAAAGTTAGGAAAATTTGGAAGATATGTACTTTATATAAAAGTGAATTTATCTCTACAAAGAAATAGAGAAACATCTCGATATTAAATCTTGTTCTCGTCTGTATTTGCTCGACTTTAAATGTAAGAGACAAGTTTTATATTAAGTCTCGTATTAAGATATATTTAAAAATGACGCAACTGGTATTGAAAATTTAGCAAATTTATTTAAAACTTTTTACGGAAGTTTTTTATATAATTGAAGTCAAATCTGCAAATTTAAAGGTAACGAGTACAAGAAATATTTATAGACAAATCGATATTTTATATATTACTACAATTTTCAAATTGAATTAAAACTTATTCCAGTAGGATTTTATTAGTAAAATGATATTTGATTTAATCTTGTTCTTTACATTTAAATCCGCGTTTAATTTTATATTTCTATTGTCAATTCGAATTTGTCTCGAAATATGTTCCACATTTTCTTGATAAATCGGCATTCAATTTCTTTAACTTCAAGTTGAAGGTTACAAATTGTTTCGAAAGGATAAATAAAAAAAAGGTGACAGGTTTAAATGATAAATTAGCTTCTTATAACGTCTGACGTGTTTGTATCCCATTTTCATTCACGCGCAAATTGTTTCCTTTTGCGTACGGCAGCTAAATTGCCTCGCGATATAAAACCTCTCCGCTGATTGTCCCTTTTATCGGGGGCGGATAGGGTATCGATTACCATGAAGGGTGAATTTACGGATCGACCGCGCGCGCCAACAAGCAAAGGGATCCAAACAATTACTTGTAGGAAGTAACACGCAGCCGTAAATTTCACCGACTTTGCGATAGCACTTTAGTCGATTTATCTTTCCTCCGGCGATAGTCCGGAATATCGTCTATGATTGACGATTGGAATTCCTAGAATCTACCCACGTTTTACCCGGGGAAACTACGCTCCGAGCCAAGAGACTCGATTCACGGAGGTCGTGATTTTCCGGGGCGTCTACCACTCAAGAGTTTCTCCGCCGCCGGTCCCTCAATCTGCAACGTCTTTACAAAATTGTACCGGAAGCAAGGTACACGCATATCGAGCGACAGTTCCAGTATCTGCTGCTTTGTTCCAGACAAATTCCAATCTTTCCGTTATTATCGTGCACTTGATCCCGCGTACATTTTTATCGTAAAGAGAAAAGAGAGAAAATAGAGTAGAATGTAATATGTAAGTTGAGTCTGGATCAGACTTTTGCATTTAAATGTCTACGTTTTGGAATTTAAACGTTTTACATAAAGCGTCAATATATTAAGAGATTAATAGGTTTACTTAGAATAGAGTTTCATTTAGAAATTTAATTATTTAATAATATTATTTGATTTTCTACTTACCCGTTCGATTAATCCATACTGTTTGCGTAAGATTTGCACGTATTTTATGCTCAAATTACGTCGCGCATTAGCGTTGGCGATAAAGCAAATAGAAGAAATTTCTTGCTCGTCGCTGTGACGGCAAACTTCGATTTCAAGAATTTTCCGCGGAAATCTGTCGTTTCGTTCAGGAAGTTGAACCGCCCGGATGGAATTTGTACGGCGCGAAGCGAAACGAAACGAAGTTATGGCTCGTCCCCGGGATCCTAAATACCCGGCAATCCTTTCTAATTCCGCCCGAAAAGTTACCATACCAAAAGCTCTTTTGACTATCCTCTCTCTCTCTCTCTCTCTCTCTCTCTCTCTCTCTCTCTCTCTCCTCTCTCCTCTCTCTCTCTTGCCGCGCGTCTTCGCCAACTCGGACGAAAGTCGCAAAAATTTCATAAGAAATAATGAAAGCACGGCGGCACGGAGAACGAAGGCTTCTACAAATATAATTAACCCCGACGGTAACTTTATATGCACCGTGGGAACGCGGTCTCCTGCCGTCGCGATTCGCCCTCGTATTTTCACAGATTTAAAAGGTATGTAGCTGCGGGGGTTATACCACCGCGCATTCAACGCGAATCCGTCTCTCTGCGGAAACTATTAATAATGAGTTTAGTAATCTCTATTCTTGGGAGCGCTATACTAAAATACGGCAAATTGTTCGCGAAAAAATACTGTTAAAAGTGTCTTTAAATTGGTGAAACGAACCTGTCTTCCATTCGAGTAATATGAAAAGGAACTGAATACGATTTTTTACTTATTGTAACGAACTGAACTATTTATTAAGAATTACGCTAAAAAGAAAATTTGTAATATTTTACAAATTTTAGTAAAATTGTGTAAAATAGATAATAATCTAAATAGATCGAGTTTTAGGTAGAAAATGTGAAAGTAATTGCGTTAGTGTTTATAAGAATTATAAAATTGTATATTGTATACTATATTATAATTGTATATTATATTATATTATATTATAAAATTGTGTAAGTAATAATTGTATATCATGTGGATTATATTATCTCTAATTAATATTGCATATTAATTATTATTCATTATTGTTCAAATATTCCGTGATGGAGGAAGGTGTTAAAAGTCGCCAATTATGTGATAATTGAATCTATATGATGCGAATGATCCCTTTTCTCTCGATAAATTCGATTACTGGCTCTTTATTAACCGGCGTCGCGTTCTTGCTCTCTTTGCAGAGGACGAGAGCGCCGTGGTGCAGGGCGTCGTTACGCAAGACGGTCTCTTCGACGGCAGTGTCGTGACCAGATTCGAAGAGTACTACATCGAGCCGACGAGCAGGTATTTGAATAAAAATGAAGACACGTCGCCGCCCTATCACAGCATAGCTTATCGCACCTCCGATGTTACCACCCCGCCACATCCATTACCCTGTGCCAGTCATCAGCTGCATCAAGAGGAGTCACTTCGCGATTCCTTCGATAGGTGAGTTCTATCTCGCGTTCTCGAATCTTCTCGAAGCGGCGGTTATCGATGTAGATGAAAAATTCGTAGACGAATGTAAACTCGGATCGTGTAACGAGTTTTGAAACTCACGGATGATTTTTTCATACTGTTTACATGGCGTGCTTTTTTTTGGTCAAATCAGACCGATTATTTTCAATGTGACGATGACGTCAAAACGATTCGTTTGTAAATTCTTTCCAATTTTATCGTACAACATGGACTCAAGAAGCTCGAATTGTGATGACACATAATCTTTTTGTCGATAAAGGTGCGTTCATATTTAAAGTAATTTTCTAGAATTATACGTTTAGTTTTTTTCCAAATCTTTTTTTAGAAATTTTTTTTTATTAGGTCATCAGGTGACAGGCTTTGTGGTACGGTTATATCGAGATGATTTCTTGCGTGTATAAAGAACTTTATATAATAATTCGTATATTTCATAATTAACTCAAGTAATATAACCGATAAAAATGGGTGCGCCCTTATTAAAACATTCTTCCGAGCGCTTACGTTCACTCGTACATTTTCTAGTTCATGAAAATACATTCGCGCCCGAAGAAAATGATAAAAGAGCACACACTGTTGGCAAACGCGCTATAATTTAGACACGTGTAAAGAAAATTCCCCGGGATTATCATATATTATGCGTTCCATGTCAGTCTTCATATGGCGGACTTTAAATGTAAATTTAAACTTTGCGATGTCTGTTCCTCCAGATATAGGTACAACAATTCTCAGGCATTCTACGAGCCTCTGCTCGGCGAGCACACCGCTCTCTACTCGAGGGAAAACAATGCGAGGGTGTTAACGCTAGAAACGAATAATGACATCGAGTACACGGACGCGTGAGTATTTTGCATTTCTAGTAAAAAGGATCCCGAATCTTTTTGCTGGTTAGCGTACGCAAATAAATCCATTATAAATATATTGCGCTATTTTTCAAAGTGTGAGAAAGTTTAAGTCGGTTAGATCGTAAAAAGTTTTAATTTTGAATATTTATTTAAAGAGCACGAAGAAGAATAAAAAAAATTTGTTTAATAATGGAAGGAAAAAGGATATATGACGTAGAGAAACATTTAGAGGCGTTCCATTTTTCTCAAAAAAAAAAAAAGGATTACAATTTCTGATTTGATAATAAGGTAAAAAATGACTTAAAATTGACTGATTTTTTATAACGAAAGAGAAACAATAAACGCGGAAGGGACGAAGGAAGGTTTTGCCTCGAATTCTAACGCGAAATTCTATAGTTGACTTTGTCTTCTGGGTCAATTCGCCATGTCAGTTGTTGTTAGCGAAGTACTGTCAACGTGTGTTTGCCACGGATGCACGGGGTAAACCGAGCGTCGTGGAAGTTGAAATAGAATTCGGAGGAGCGGAGTTAGGAAGTCCAGGTGAACGCGAGCGGGAGGAGCTCCGCGCGCGGCGCATGTTTTTCATCGCGTAATAAAAACGACCTTATTTCTCGTCCGCAGCGCGAGCGGCAGAGATCGGATCGCCAGGCATCTGCACAAGCGCGCGACGGTAGATCCCCGGAAAACTACCTGCATGCTCTACTTGCAAGCGGACCATCAGTTTTTCGCGCGATACGGCACGGAGGAAGCCTGTATCGAGGTGATGACGAGGCACGTGCAGCGAGTCAACTCCATCTACAAACACACAGGTGGGTGTTCTTCCTCGCGGCGATGCGCGTCGGGGCGCGGCGTGCGAGAGATGATCTAACAGTTTTCACCGCGAGTCCGGAAAACGGACGTGGCGGCGAAGGCCGTCAGGGAAAGGAGGGGGGGGGGAAAGGGACGGGGGAAAAAGTCGGAGAAATTGAAAACTGCTTGAGGAACGCGAAAAACGTCAGGAGAATCTAATTTAAAATGGCCAGGGAATATCGAGGGCGCGCGGAAAAAAGCGAAGAAATTCAGGGACTTTCGAGGAATGCCCGGGGAACTTTACGGGGAATTATGAAAATTTTTCTGGAATTTTACAATTCCTATCGCGGTTGACGATAATACGGGGAAAAATCATTCGTTCGATTTTCATTCGTTGATATACATTTAAATTTATATGAATTTGTATTTTAATATTAGGCACAATTAAGCGTTGTTGTGCTTGCATAGAAAATGCGATGAAAAACAGTAAATTAGTTTCCTTCGTGTGTTAGCGTACGTGTGCACGTCAATTTTTGTTTTTCTCGTTTACAGTTTCGGCACACTGCGGTAAAAGCGATGGAATTATAGACGAAACTTGAAATTGCGAAGACCGGCGAAAAAGCAAATAATTAGCAAATAATTAGAGGAAGTGGAGTAAAACGGAGTTTTGGAATATTATCCACGTGAATAACCCGGTTCGATAGTATTCAATTTAATTTGAAAAACACCGACTAAAATCTAATTAATCTCAATCCAGTGGAAAATGTAATCTTCTAAAGAAATATTGTAATATCGATTCTCGTAATTCTCTTTCGCACAAGGATAAAGATACCGCGTAATTTTCCGAATTATAATCAAGTGGCATAAAACACGAAAAATAAATGTGCACGTGCACATATCTCTGCCAACTTCGAAATTAAACGCGAGATATATTTTTGATGCAGCTTTTCATGAAAAATGTGAAATGTGCATTTTGATAAATTATATTTTATCGCTCGATATCGTTGTTAAACGTACACCGGCCTCTGCTTATTCACACGTACGGTATTTTGATTACCGTACTGTTCCATTATGTATATACCGCACACTGAGCTCTACATTACACGCGAATTACTCTGTTTGGACCAGAGAACGGTAATGTCACATGGGAGTCGTCAACGTATGACGCAAGAAGCAGGACTAGAATAATGCACGAGTTTAAGTGAATTATTCAGTTTTTGATGAATATGCAATTTAAGAAACAGCCAGCGTTTGAACAGCGTCACGTTCTGCTTTCAGACTTCAATCAGGATGGGCGGCCGGATAACATCAGTTTCATGATTAAACGCGTCAAGGTGCACGGCGAGGACGCGTTGAGAGACCAACATTATCGTTTCCCGGGCAATTACGGGGTGGAGAAGTATTTGGAGCTCTTTTCAGGTAAAGGCTTCTTGTTGCCGCTCTTTGTTAATAAGCCGCAATTTGACGTAATGTCAATACGTCAATAACCGCGGATTAGGGGGGGGGGGGAATTGCCGGCCTACCGGATAATACCGTTGATGTTTGCCTTGTTATAGAGGAGGATTATGACGCATTCTGTCTGGCTTACATGTTCACGTATCGGGATTTCGAGATGGGAACGCTGGGTTTGGCATGGACAGGCGATCTCAAGAATGCCGGCGGCGTGTGTGAGAAGAATGGGGTAGGCGCGAGCGAAAAATATTGATGCATCTTCTTAGAAAAAAAAATCGATTATATATTTTTTCATAAATTTACGAATAGTATAGAAAGTGACTAAATTTTTTGAAGAGAAAAAAATTGTATTAAAAAAAATCTCTTTTTAAGTTCAATTTATTGTTAAGCGTGTCGATCGACAACATTATATTCGAAGCATAATTTCATTCATGGTGTGATTCACTCTGATGAGAACTGATTTTTTTTATCGTGTGCTTTCTTTTTGCGACCGTTGAAGTGTAAATCGTTACGGATATAAAGCTCAATGAAAAATAATCGTCGAAATAACGTTGCAGCATTACCGCGGCAGCATGAAATCGTTGAACACCGGCATAGTGACCCTATTAAATTACGGGAAGCACGTACCGCCTGCGGTCTCTCACGTTACTTTGGCCCACGAGATCGGCCACAACTTCGGCTCGCCGGTACGTATACACTTCCGTTAAGTCGCGTTCACCGGAACAGCGCGTTCCACATTCCGCGGCCTTGTTGTTACACGATGTTGCCCCTCGTCAATAAACGAACGGACGGCGCACCGTGTCGTACATCTCATTGTTCTTTCGTGTCCAGCACGATCCGGAACAATGTACGCCGGGCGGCGAGGATGGCAACTTTATAATGTTCGCCCGTGCCACCAGCGGCGACAAGCGCAACAACAATCGCTTCAGCCCGTGCAGCCTGAACGCCATAAATCCCGTGCTCAACAGCAAGGCACGTTCGCCAAAGGGATGCTTCACCGGTGAGTTTTATGCCACGGCCGAGCTTACACGGCGAGCGCGCTATATCGCGGCGGATACGTCGCGTCGCAGACTAAAGCTAAATTGATCGAACCTGGCTCCCATCTGCTCGTCCAATTATTCCGCACCCGTTTTGCTCTAACCCTGACGGTGCTCTCTGCATTGTTTATCGTAGAGCCGCAAGTATCGCTGTGCGGCAACGGCGTGGTGGAGGAGGGCGAGGAGTGCGACTGCGGCTGGGAGGAGGATTGCAGGGAGTCGTGCTGCTTTCCCCAGCGCCGTTATCCGCCGCCCGAGGAGACCCCGTGCACGCTCAAGCCGCGCTCGGTGTGCAGCCCTAGTCAAGTATGTATGACTCTAGTAAAAAATGCGAGTCGGGCTGTGTATTGTCGGGGGAATTTTAGGACGACTTTTCCTTCCTCAAAATTTAACCCGATGCCCCGTACAAGCCGCGTTTGTGCTTTTTCAATCTTGAATATTAAACGCTAAGTGTTCAAGCGTCCAAATTTTTTTAAATGCTCGCTTGTCCGGCTATATGTTTGAAACGTTCGTTCATTTGTTTAAATATTCAAATACGCGGAATACATATGTATTATTCTTCAAATGCGTTGCATTTCAATCAATTTTTTATCAAGCCATTATATCTTTAATATTTGATGAAATTTCTGCCGCCCGATTGGGCGCATTTAACGCGATGAACAATGCGTTTTAATAATTGGTATGCAGTAATCGTATTTCATGCAAAAGATATTGAGATTCACCGATGCGCATTCATCGCTCGTTATTCATTTATTTTGCCGGAAATGTTAATTAATTTGAGCGATACCCTGTGAAATTTACTTTAGGCAATTTACCCCCACAGATATGCGTAATGTAATTATACGCGGCGCATCGTGTATCGCGTACGACACGACGTAATTTCAACGGCCTCTGTTTGCTCTCCTTTTTAGGGCCCGTGCTGTACCGGCGAGTGTAATCTCCGTTTCGGGGATAAGTGCAGAGATGACAACGGTTGCCGCGACGCGAGCTTCTGCGACGGCCGTTCCCCGTATTGCCCGCCGTCCATTAACAAGCCTAATAAGACCATCTGCAACCGCGAGCTGGTTTGCTTCATGGGGGTAGATATTAGTCTCATTAAAAACCGTACATGCATGTGCTATACCTATTACATATTAAGTGAACAAATACGATCTCACGTGCGCGAAACTTGTGTTTCAACAGGAGTGCACCGGCAGCATTTGCCTGGCATACGGACTGGAATCTTGTCAATGCATACCAGGCCCGAACGATCCGTCGACGAAGGCTTGCGAGTTATGCTGTCGACTTCCCGGGGAAAATCAACCGTGCCTGTACGCCTGTCTCGTATTATTCCATCGATCGCGCGTGATTTGCGATTTGTTAAAGACTTCTTTTTTAATTCAATCATTTCCCTTCGCAGATCGTCTTTCGATTGGAATTCTCCGCCGTACGATATTCCCGACATGTTCTCGAAGCCAGGGACTCCGTGTAACGATTATAACGGCTATTGCGATGTCTTTCAAAAATGCCGTGAGGTAAGCGGAACTTGGTCACACGGTGGATAGCGGCGTAGTAAGGTAGCGACGTTAATTAAAATATTTTATTCAGGTCGATCCAAGCGGTCCATTAGCAACTTTAAGGAAGCTCTTATTATCCGACGAGAGCCTCGCTACTTTCAGACGGTGGGTCGCTGAACATTGGTATGCAGCCGCTCTGATAGTTTTAGCGGCGATATCGTTGCTGGTACGTGTAAAAACATTACCTACATTTTTTTCTTGAATTTAATACTTAAAAATACTTAAAAAAATTATTATTTATTTTCAAAATTAAAATCTAGATTCCTAATTTTTCCGTTATTCAATTTGATTTATTATTTTTAATCAATAAATAATTCGATGAGATTGTTAGTCTGTAGAATAAATACGTTTTTGTAAAAATAAGCGCAAGAAAACAATTATTCTATACACTTATATGTTAAAAATGTTCGCTGTCAGAAACGACTAAGGAAAAGAGAAAAATACAATGAGAGTAAGTGTAGGGATACATGCAAAGTAGGCTATTCCAATAATGTTGCAAAAAATTGATTAATTGCTTTTTACAAAAATCTTTTGCCATTAACACTATATCATCATTATTTAACATTGTACCTTTCTCTGCGATGCGTATACATTCGATTAGAGCATCAGGTAGAGGCAAAAATTTTTGTAGCTGCTAGACAATCTTTAATCTTTGAATAAAAAACAGTAATTTGACTTTCTTTTATAAATAATATATTTTTTTATCATTAAAATGTGTATCGTATAAATATGTAAAAGTGTACATTTGTGTATACTTGATAATAGTATTTTATTTGTTTGTATTTATAAATTATTAATAAGAAAAAAAATAAAATAAAAATTTGCAATAAAAACAAGCATATGAAGAATTATTTCTCGTCTTTTAGGTGGCCAGCATGAGATTATTGGGCAAGCGACCGGACTTGAAGCTAAAGTCCGTCACGATAATTCACAGTTCTACGACGGAAACGGTACGACTTCCACCTGAAGGTACGGAAGGAGTGACGGTGCATCCACCGGCGGTACGTGCCAAACTTCCTCTTAGCAGAAAGGTCAGAGAGAAAAGGTGTCATCGCAAACATAAAGACGGCCACACCGATAAGTCCAACAAGGTAAAATTAAATAAGAGAAAATAGATTATGATTTTAATTGATTTTAAATTATTTATATATCATTTATATATTAATGTATTTTCTATTTATACTTTGGAGTTTAAGTTCTTAAATTAAGTTTCTCGTTTGTCTTTAAAGGACGCCAAGAAGAAACAGAACCAACAAGCAAAGAGATCATCCACCGGGCAGACGGACGATCTTGCGCGGAAGAGACCGGCTGAAGTTTCGGCTGCCGTGACGCAGGAGAACAAACGGAAGAAGATCATATCGGTTAGAGATAAAGGACAAGGCGCCAGCAATAATCCGGCCGGCGGCAGCGGCGGCGGCGGCGATAACGACAAGAGGAAGCGCAAGAAGCAACATAGAAAGGAGGTGATCGACTACTCGGCAATTCAAGCGGACAAGGAACCGGAAACGAACGCCGATCCTAAGAGCAAGGTGCGCTCCTGGTTACTGGCGTCTTCGCAGTGTCGACCGGAAACCGGTGCGCGGACGGGCAACGTCAACGGTTTGCCGAAAAGCAAATCGACCCCGGTGGGCCTGACGGCCGGCGGAGGGGCGGTGGGGTCCAGAGCGCCGGTGTCGAGGCAGCAGCAGGCGCTGACGTCCGCGCGACGTCCTGCAGGCGCGGAGGCCGGACGGGCGGAGCTGAAGAACTCGTCGAATTCCCTCGCCAGGAAGGAACGGGCGCGGCTGCAGGTGGTGTACAAGCCGCCGTTCCGGTTCAGCGTGAAGCTGCGCAAGTCCGACAAGGTGGCGCAGGCACCGGCCACGGCCGGTGTGAATCACACGAGCGCGAACAGCCGAACGACGAAGCTGCCGAGGACCGGCGTGCTGCTGCGAACGGCCAAGAGGAAGGACCGGGTCAGGATAGGCAGAGCGCGACAGATCGCCCCGACCGGCATCGGGAACAGCGGCGGCGATCTGCCGGAGCCGGCCAACTCCGACTTGCACACCGTGCCCTCCGATCTGGAAGTACTGCTGTCCGAGAGCGAGTTTCTCTTCTCGGACACGTGACCATGGATAATGAGCGTGTTTGAGTTCGTTTCGAGTCGCTACGCGACTAAGTAGCTCTTGCGTCTATTCATCCCTTGTTGTTCGTGCGCGAGACTAGATAAATACTACTTTAGGATGCGCGGGATGATAGGTAGTTTTCGCAGTGAATCTCTAGCTCGTGCGTGGAAGAATCCCGTCCCGAGACCGTGGAAGGGAAGACTCGTTTATTTGCTGCCCGATCTGCCTTGGTCCGTTTTTTTTTCCTTTCGACTGTTTGCCAACCGCTGTACGTAACACGTCGCAAAGAGACGTGTCGCGTATTGATTCTTACTATTCTTCCTTTCCGCATCTCTATAGTGGAGCGATGGCGCGGCGACCGATTGTACGTTTTGCGAACGTTCGCGCCGCGACCGGCGATGCGATGAACGTGATTTTACTCACGCGCGATTTCGATGAACGGAATTTGCGCTTCGGCAAACGAACGTATTGGGGCGCGCCGGCGTTAATTTTTCGACGATCAAGCCAGTTTTCTTCTTCCAAAGAAAGGGGCCAAATCCACTGTTTAAAAGTGTGCGACTGGTGTAAGCGCCGCAGGTATAATAAATATTGATCTACTCGTCTAATGTTTCCCCGGAATTGTGCTATGAAAGCAGATTACGATTCGTTTTCGATGGTAGCTTTAAATTTTCAGGGATCAGTGAACGCGAACATTTATCTCAAGAATGCAACGCGATATTTTGGGGCGTCGAAAGTAATGCTTTATCTTTAAAGTCTCTTTAACACTGTGCCTGTGCTGTTACATAACTCTGTACCCTCTTTTCTGACGCTTAGGGAAAATCACGTCTGCGAATGGCGTAGTTTTTCATTTTTAAATGGCGATATATCGGTCGCGACAAAGGACGATAAAAGGTGAAATATATTGCGTCGACAGCCTTGATTGACTAACTTTTTAATTAGTCGCTCCCTTTGAAATTATAGCCCTTATAGTTATATAATGTAGTCGTAATAGACACTACGCACTTGCGGTCGTTGCTATGATACGGCTATAAAATGTTCTATATTTTAACCCTAGCTGTAACACATAGCTGTCACGTACTTCGTACTATGGCCCTAGCTATAATATAGCTAAAGTACATTATATACTTGCGAGAAAAAAGGTACGTTATATCATTAGCTATGATATAATTTAACATGTAACTCTATATTATAGCTACTGCTATAATGTACTAATTACAGCGTAATTATTCGTAGCCAGGGCTATGGTATCGACGCAGAGGAACAAAAAAAACTTAGCATATACCACGATCAGAGCTGATCTGACGTTGAGGAGAGTTGTGGCGAACGTCAGGCAGTTCCGAAACAGATCGTCGGGAGGCTCTCTTGTCTCTTCGCCGCCCTTCGTCTGCCTGTAACGTTATAAGTAACGTTATTATTCACTCGTGGTTCCTATTGTCGACAATTCCTAAATCGCAACTCGTGAAAGGCATCTTTTGTCGGGTATATACTTTGCATCCTTCAGTACGCTCGCGAGAATCGCGAGACCAGAGCCGACAACGGATATATTGCTTATATTTTTAAGATTGTACAAAATATCTTCAGTGGCATCCATTATATACGCCGAGTTTTGGCGATTTTCCGTTGCTCGTGGTTGTTAACGGAGGACTCGCTGGTTTCTCCCTGTTTCATACTCAATCTCTTCGAATCCGATAGCCGGTGCTCTCGTTTGATACTTACGCCTCTTACATATCCGAACGCATTTCTGAGTGTAACTTCCACTTGTATATATGCTTTACCGCTCAGACATTCCTGTTCGCTCTGCAAAAGATAAGTCGATTAATTAGAATCGATAGACAGTCGTTCCGTTCACAATTACATTTCTTCGTCAAAGTGATTTCTGCAGAAAATATTCGCGTGTATAATTAAAACATTCTGTACAATACTCAAAGTAGAAGGGAACATTGTTAGCTCTAAAATTAAATTGAGGAGAAGATTCCGCACGATTACTATAAAATTAATTTGCGATGCACATCGGTTCTTCTTAATTGACGGTCTTTTGCGACACATCGTCGAGTGTGTTTTGCCGAGTTTAAGTTCCTTGCGCTCGCGGCACGTGCACTCGAGCTGAAAAAAAAAAGCGAATATCTCGATACAGAATATTCGCGCGCTCGCGTTTCACGAGTTAGCCTCACGTGCATTCCCCTCGAGTGTGTCGCCGCGAACCCCCTGAGCTGCCACGGATTTCATCTCACGGCGACAAACCGCGAATTAGCCGGCTCGGTTAATCGTTATGAAATCTCGACTAAACCTAGCTCTTATTAGCCAACACGTATGAGTACGGTTAATGCATCCTCTTTAAAGATCCGTTTACGATCGCCGACTTCGCATACCGCGGTCTGACGTGTCGCGTATGAGAAGTCGCTCTCTTCTGTATAATAAAGTAACAAAGGTCGGATCGATACGGACTCGATACTCAAGGATAATAACATTAATAATATTAATACGCTCGTTGGCGGTATTCATTTTTGTATCATTCCTTAACAAGTATTATTCAGCGGGAGAACGAGAGAGGTAGAGATAAACGTAAAAAAAATAACTAGCTACATTTTACGTGCATAGATTACTAAAACGATGTAAACAGGGTCTGATAGGTTTCTTTTAACTTGATTGAAGCTACTAAAATTATTAAATATTAACATCGCTGTGTACTTGCCTAATTTAAGCGAGTCGTATTTAACTTCAGAATGCGTTATACCGTTCGGAATTGAATGAACTAGTTCTTTCGGCGAGTGAAAATTTAATCTCCGAACGGTATATCGCTTTGAATAAAAGAAAATTGTATCGCTAATTAATTGAATTTTGTTCTTTCTCTTTTAGAAATTGTATTAATCAGTTATACGTATAATTGAGTTGCAACAACGTGCAGCTATTGACAGCAAATATTAAAACTTTTGCTTACACAGCGCTATACTTTATTGATGTGCGTTTGTTAAGTGACAGCGATTGGAAGCCTAATTTGTTAAGTGGGCGATGTTCCAAAAGCTCATAAGAACATTTACAATTATTACGTATATAGGTAAGCTAAGACTTCACGAAAAAAAATTGTGCTTTGTCTAATGCGATAAGTATGCGCGACCGACCGTGTTCTGTGCGTTCATAATTTGCGAAGCTGGTGTTCATAGCAATTCTCGAGAGAGGTCCGTTCGTATATCTCTCCCATAAATGTACTTAATTCATAAGAAGATGTGATGTTACTTTTACATGAGCCGATAGACAGAATTGCTTAACTCGTAAGAAAGCGTGCTTTTACTTTTAAGACCGAGCTGTGTTATATCCCCTCTTGCATTAAATTGGGAATTAAAAAATCAATCGTTATTTCGGTGAATTAAATTCTCGGTACCGTGATAGAAAATGGTTGAATTTAATTGAATGGGATTTACTTCGTAAAATTGGATGCAGTTTGTAAACGGGGGAATTTGATTTAATTTTTAATTCATAGTCAAAAAATATTTGAAAATTCACACATTTTACATGCCGAAAATGGAAGCGAAGAAAAATGATAGAGAAATCGTATCTGTTGCATTTAAATCCACCGAAATTTCAGTTCTAATTCCCGAATTTTGAACAGATTTTGATCAGCCATGTTGCGCGATTCGCTTTGTTGTGCCTAGTCGCTGCGCAGAAATCGCTACGAATTTCGCGTGCGAGCGTTCAATCCGTATTAATCCGGACACTCGTTAACTTCGTTCGTACTCCGTTGTATCTATATGCATCTATACATATATACATACATATATATACACATATATTGTGATACATACTTATATATGTCGTACAAGTAAGTAGTACGTATTCCGCTTTGGTCGTAAGATTTGCGTTATAATCTAATAAAAAAAAAAAAAACGGAAAGAGTGTGAAAGCAAGAAAGCATGTAGCTTGATCGTAGAATCAGCAGGTAGACGGCAGAAATGTTCGGATATTCGAATAATGTGTAGATGATAAAAAAAAAAACGTAGCTATTACCCTTGTGTAGTCTGTCTACCGAGTGACTTAGTCGCGGCGAAGTGAATCAAATTTGTAAACGCGTATTATAGCGCGGTCAACAATTTTCTACGACCCTAGTAATTCGACGAGCATGATCGAGGACGCATTGTATACGAAAAAAAGCTTTGCGCCACTTGGAGCTCATTCTGGGCTGCGGCGAGTTTCGATTAGTGAGAGACTATTCAGCAATTGAGAAAATAATCAATTTATAGCGAAATCAAAGCGTTCACCGAGAAGCGTGAATTAGTTTAGAAAGGAGAATAGATATCAGCCTTAGATATCACGTAATAACATCTGTAGTAATTTTTTTTATTGGTGCACATTTTAACGTAGAAACTTAAATGCAAGCCTTTTTATTTCTTTAAACAAATTGAATTACCGCATGATGAAGCAATCACCCTTAATTCACTTAGTGCTGTTAAATTAGGAAGGAATAATTATAGATGTACCGTTAAGGGTGAGAGAGAGAGAAAGAGAATCAAAAACTTTACAAGGCATACGTTAAAGAGGAAAGATTGGCGTTGAAAGGAATTCTGATTTCTATTCGTATTTGCTAAGTGAACAGCAACGGGACAGAATAACGAAGTTACGAGTTTCCAATGGAAATTAGATTCCTTCTAACTCCATTTATTTTACAGGACAAGATTGATCTACTTTTGTAAAAGAAATAGCAATTTTCTTAAGCTCTTCGAGATTCGATCACCGACGACAAGATCGAAGATTGTCCCGTGAATTATCTAGCGGTGAAGGATTGCTGATGTGTTTTGCCGTAATCGGCGTAAAGTCTTTTCTCGCATGTGTATGCGTGCTCGTCGTGCGATTAAAAGAAAAAAAAAAAGCATCGTAGTTCAGTAGTCGTAGCTGAACACACTATTTTTGATCCGCGAGTGACGGTAGGGCCGTGGCGACCGTGGCGACTAGCGACTATAGCCATCCAGACAAATTGATTGCTCGTAATACTTAACAGTTAATGCCGTAGTCATTCCCATTAAGCTCGAATGCTTCTTGTTCCGATTTAACGATTAGCAGTTGGCGGGATGGTGGGATCGCACGCGGCGTGTCCCCCCGCATGCCAAATGAATGCAACACAACACAACACTCGGATCCGAACAAAGTCGAGGGCACAAGTGGTCTCGATCCGAACCTATTCGGAATATTTGATACGTCCGAGAGGCGAGACTGTTATATTATTTTAACTCTTATCGCGTACCAACATAAACTTATAATTGATATAAGATGGGGCTGCTGTATTTTTACACGGACTTTGTACAAATATAACGGAGGAGTTTCTCGCGGGATGTAATCCCGCGTCGGGGAGATAATGTACATACCTGTATACCAATAAATACTAGACGAAATGTGAAGGACCGAAAGAAGCTGCGACCGTGTAAAACAAAAAAAACGAGCACGCACGTGTATAGTATTTACTATAACAAATCACGTTTTCATTCAACAGAAGCGTTTTGATAAAAAAAATTCTTATCTTCTGATTTATGGAGAAACAAAAGAGATTAATTTTTCGTTCTATATATATGCTATAAATTTGAAATATGAAAAATTAATCATTATACTATTTAAGCCAGGATGTCAGTTTTACGATTGGACGTTAAATAGACTTTTGGAATTCTCGGCTTTTGTACTCGTTATTGCGCGGTCGTGAGCTTCAGACTTTATTAGCAATATTCCGTCATCCTTTTGAATACAATGCTTTTTTATTAAGCAGATTTTCAGATTCTACATTAAAAATTAGATTACATTAGACAGGACATTTAATTGTATTTTTTATAATATAATTGTAAATAATTACATAATGTAATAGTAATTATAACTATAAAAATGTATAATTTTACTTTTTATCTTTTAGGCATTTATATGTATCTGTTATTGATTTTTATCGTTATGTATTTGTATATACATTTTTCTGGAATTTTATATCTGGGAAATTTCATGCTTATAACGTAAATTTTCGGGGAATTCTTTTAATGGCAGGCGTGTCAATCGTGAACTTGTATCATTTGGCACAGCCTCTGATGCCCGTATCAATTATCTTCTTTCTTACAACTTACTTTCTTGATGTTATCATCATTTCTATCATTAGACTGTTTTACGTTACGTGCAGTTAATCGATTTGCATATTCATCGTGCGCACAAATTTCAGACTGCCGTTTTAAAATATCCATAGCGTAATTAACTCTGTTATTTGTTATAACTTCCTTTAATTCTTTTCTATATTGAATTTCTGTAATATAATTATAAGTATGACTAATCTTAATTTCTAACATTTTCAGAATTTTCGACATGTATATTTGAAACTTCGACGGCATGGATAATTCCATAATTCATCAGTCGTATAAATGTTGAAATATTTTATGTGTAAACTGAGCTTACTTTTTGTCTGTCGTGCGTTATCGTCCTGTCTTTGTTTTTCGATATATTTTTTTCGTTCTTCGGCTGAATATCGCGTAAACGCGGCATCGATCGCTTCATCTCTCGCTTTGCGTTCAGCTTTCTGTCTCGCCTTCAAGTGATAAAAAGATTTATGACGTTTTATACATGTACATGAATTTCTGACACAATTGTTCTTATTTAAATAATTTTTACAAAAACAAAACAAGCAGTCAAGTTATTTAAATTAAGTATATATTTCAAAATTTTTTAATTATTTGTAATTAGCAATCTAAATTTATTTTATTGCTAATTAGAAGTAATTAAACAATTCTGAAATTTTTTCGGGAGAAAAGATCCGAGAGTCAATATAACTTAATAACTTTGCGAGCGGATTGTGGTAAAAATACTTAAAAAATTTTGATAGCATTACTATTTTTTCGAAGGTAATATCGCATCGTTTCTTTGATGCAGGCTTGATTGATTCTTTTGTCCATTTGCTCCTCTGCTCTTCCCGATACAATTCATCAGCGATCTCCTGCTTCTTTCTTTCTTTGCAGACGTTAGCCAGCAGTTCTCTGGCTACGTTATCTATCGCCGTTTCCCTCATCGCGCGAAGTTCCATCTAACACGTTAAAAAAATACTAAAATTTTTTATCCCGTAAAAATTCGTCGAAACCGTCTACTAGTCCAATCTTACGTGTATTTTCAGAAGAAATCCGATTTTACCTTCGTGCCGATCTGTTTCTCTTGTCGAGCTTCCTTCTCCGCGATTATGCGCGCTATCCTCTCGTCTTCATCCTTTAACGCTTCCTTATATTTTCTCTCCCATGCTTTCTTAGCCGCAAAAGACGCGGCCATCTCTTCCCTCAAGAGAATCGCGTTATTCCCTTTCCTTTTCCTCGTCTTTGCATCCTCCTCCTGAATCTTCTGTACCGCTCGTTCCGTCATCTTGCGATCCAGTTCTTTCTCCTCACTCCTTTTCTGTTGAACTCGTCGCCGATTGTCCGCCAATTGATTCTGCAGTTCATCGCGCAAGTTCCGTTTTCTTCTTTCGTCTTTGTCAAGTTGCGACTCCTCGATAATTTTTTCTTCGTGCCAGAGCCTCAATAATTCCGCCTGGCTCGCTTCCAGACGGACCTTTTCCTCTATCAGACGCCATCGGGCCTCGTTCAGAGCGCAACTCGATGGTGATTGCGCGGAGGATTTTATTCGATCCGATTTTAACGCACGCTTTACCTCTTCGTCTGTAATTCACAAAGAAATATTTTTTCTGCTCGGCATAGTTAAGATCACGGAGAGAATTTCCTTTTAAAATTTATCCTGAAAACTTTGTTAATTATGGGACAACGCATAGTATTTCGACAATTTTTACTGTACACTACAATAAATTTGTTGTAGTATATATTAAAAAAAATAGTGAAAATATAAAATTCGTCGAAATACTATATTGTCCTACGATTAACATGATTTTCAGGGTAAATTTTAAAATAAAATTCTCTCCGTGGCGAATGAAAGTCTCCGCAAAGCGCAACGTACTTAAAAAAAAAAGAGATAAATAGATAATAATACAGGATATAATTGTACGTATAATATATTCCTTTACAGAATAAATAATTCTCAACGAGGCCGGACGCAATTTGTAAATCTTTATTTACTTCTACGCCGCGACAATTCGGCAGCCAGTCTGTGCGTCACTTCAATCTCCTCCTGTTTCGCTTCGACGGCTGCTTGAACACGCGACAATTCCTCCGCCAGGGCGACTTCTCGTTGCTCGGCCTGCGCGCGACGTCGCGCGATTTTGTTGTCGCATCGCTTCACCATCGATGCTCGTCCCGCCTCCAACGCAGCTTCCTTCTTGTCCTTTATCCTTCTGTCATCCTCGTGCGTCTTTGCGTCCACCCAGTACCATCCTTGACGGGAATTCACCATCTTTGCGTTTCTCCGCGATGTACATACGATTTTCTTTTTCTGCGCGCAGCGAATGAAATATACGTTTCGCGATAATCGATTAATTTCAAGCAATTTGATGTTACGGCGTCTTCGATAAATAATAATATAGGGATGAGTGAAAGAGAGAAAAGTTCAAGTTGCAAGACGGTCGATTGAATGCGAAATATGCTTTCTGAAATTTATCGTGCTTATCTTGTTTTCTATATGCTTCTTGAAATTCATCGTGCTTTTCCTGTTGAAGTATTTGCGTACTTTATACAATTAAATATTTCAATTGAATATTGATTTATTTTGATACGTTAATTAGAGACCATAAAATAATAGATTTATATATTATATGATACATGCAATTTAAATTACAATTATTTTGGTCCTAAGGGGGTTTTTACCTTTGCCAGCCATAAAATTAGCCCCTGTTTCATGAATTTTTTTAAGGAAAAAAATCTGTTATACATATATACAGTAAAACCCGGGTTTTTGTATAAACTTATATATTATTTGAATAGCAAAACAAATATTTTGTATTTATATAAAAATGTATTTTAATGTCTCTAAAGTGGCAATTGAATGTGGCATGTTTTAATTCGAGCTGACGGAAGTAATTACGAAAAAACGAATTAAGATATCGACTTAATTCTTTTTTTTCCTCTTGATCCTAATACTGTAACGCATGGCGTGAACTAAAATTAAATCAGTCAATTGCCTGAAATTTGTAAAAATGGCAACATTTGAAAGAAAAATTTTGTTGCCCTAAAAATGTTTAAAATTCTTATTAATAACAAATTGAATGTTTGTTGTAAAATCATGATTTTAGTTCACGCCATGCGTTAAAGTATTAGGATCAAGAGGAAAAAAAAAGAATCAAATCGATATCTTAATTCGTTTTTCGTAATTACTTCCGTCAGCTCGAAAAACATGCCACATTCAATCGCCACTTGGAGACATTAAAATACATTTTTATATAAATAAAAAATATTTTTTTGTTGTTCAAATAATATATAAGTTTATGCAAAAACCGGCCGGGTACAAAACTATTATATATATACATATATATACACTATACAGTATAAAAACTGTATATATAATAGATATTCTTAAAAAAATTCATGAAACAAGGGCTAATTTTGGCCTGCCGGCAAAGGTGAAACCCCTATTAATTACGAAGATAGTATTCAAACTTTTAATTATATTTAGCGCAAAAATGATTGATGAAAACTCTTTATATATCGTATAGTACTAAGTTTTTTTAATTAAAAAAAACCGCTTTTTTAGAACAAGAGAAAGTATTCCAGCATCCGATCGCAATCAGAGAGATATATGTATTGGGTACAGAAAGCTGGTAATTTGAATAGTGGAATAATTTGGATAATAGTAATTAAGCATTTGCAAAAATTTTAGAAAAATAAAAGATTTTAAGATATATTTCATTATATCAATGTCTGTAATTGTAATGAAATGTATCTTAAAATCTTTTATTTTTCTGAAATTTTTGCAAATGCTTACTATTATTCAAATTATCCCGCTGTACTTAGCTTATACATATACATAAAATAAAATAAAATAAATAAATAAATATAATTTAAAGTCTTCTAATGTGTGTAACAAACGCATCTAACATTGAGTGTAGCTAAAATGTTCTGTCTAACTTAAAAACATTCTTTTTTTGTTAAAAATTTATTTTACGGATATAATATTATCAATCTATTCAATTTATATTTTATATCATCAGTAGCACATCAGGAGTCCATTAATACTTTGACAGTCAGATGGCGCCAGTCGAATGCTTCATTCGTGTCGTGAGAGCAGGATATTGGCACTACTGGCAGAGACAATTGGACAACCGAAACCGAATTCATCGGATTGGAATCGTGCTTTACCTACGGCAGACGCCGGACTCCAGAGCGGCAAGTTTTGTGTGTGCGTTCGATTATTATTAATAAATCGTCACCACGTCTTTCCAATTCGCACCTTTTGGGTACGTATCTCACACGTGAGCTGCAGAAGTGTACTGATTTCGCGCACGTGCCGAGAATACTTCGATATTTACGTGCGAACGTCGTACGCGGGCGGTTACTTAGGTTATCCGGGCGCGTCATATTGATTTCTGTTCTGCTCCGTTTACGGAATTTCTCAGATATTATTTCAGACGAATACTTAAGTACCAGGAGGCTCGCTGCGTGTCAGATACGTGAGTGCATGTTCGATTCTTTATAAATTAGTTTTATTAAAAATTCACCGACGCATAGTGTAGCTTGTATGTACGTATGTACGTACTTACATAGAATGTGCTTAATTAACAGAATTATTTAGAAAATTTAGATTAAACTTAGATATTAAAGTGTTATCAATTAACTTTTAGAGACACGAGCAGAAGAAAAATCTTTGTTTGTGTAATTTCAGGAGAAATATAATTTAACAAAATTTTAAATAAAGTTTAGTCGATTGAGACATATCTATTAAATATTACATTCTGCCATAGAAAATAGAAATTTGTCATGTTTTTGGGATAAAGAAGAAGAATGATGCAAGTGTAACTATATTTTATGTATTCCTAAATTATAGGATTTAGAATATCATATATGTTTAAAATTCTACGTGTCACTATGTATATTATTGCTAATATTATCTTTTTTTTTGTTGTAGAAACAATATGGTACGTGGTCGTGGAGGGATGATCAGAGGTGGTCGAGGTGGTATGGGACGTGGAATGGGTTTTCCACGAAAGCAATTTCTGCCACGGCATCCGTTCGATTATACGCTATGCGAGGCTGCTTTCCCACGTGTTAAACCAGCTCCAGATGAATCAGACTTCCAGTCAGCTCTCGTGAAGAAGAACGCTGATATGTGTCCCACGCCAAAGGAGCAGACTTCTATCTTAAACCTTGTCACTAAGCTGCAGACCGTCCTTGATAATCTGATTGTTGCGCCAGGAACCTTTGAAGCTTGCGTAAGTATAGGTCTCTATTATAAAATTGTAAATTAAATTCTAGCTCTTTCTGTTTAATGTCTCTATCATGTGTTGTGCATTGATTATCATTTCATATATATATTTTTTAATGCAGCAATTGGAAGAAGTAAGACAAGTCGGCAGTTTTAAGAAAGGTACGATGATAAAAGGCCACAATGTCGCTGACATCGTTGTTATCCTTAAAACTTTGCCGACGAAAACGGCGGTAGAGGCACTCGGGAACAAAGTCAATAACGACTTGAAGGCCGTGAACCCGAAGGAGATCTTCAGAGTTATACAAACGGAGCGCGGATTCGATATTGCGAACAATGAGGCCACTGTGCGTATATTGATAACCACGTTGCATCAAAATCTACGCAAGCTGGAATCGGAGCAACACCTGGACGTCAAAATTTGTCAAGGTAATAATTTTCGCGTTTTTATAATGAACAAATCTCAATGATTATTACGGAAAACATATGATTTCTTCTCATAGGACATCTCGCCGCCATCAGACATTCTCGTTGGTTCGAAGAAAACGCTCATCACTCTAGTATTAAGGTTCTCATTCGACTACTTCGTGATCTTAGAAGCAAATTTGAAGGCCTAGAGCCATTATCCCCCTGGATGCTGGATCTGTTGGCACATAATGCAATAATGAACAATCCCAGCAGACAAGCGTTACCGATAAACCAGGCGTACAAGAGAGTGCTGCAGTTGCTTGCTTCCGGACTGTTTCTCCCAGGATCAGCAGGTACATTAAATACTCATTAATTATTTAAAATTAAAAGTCTTTGATAATTACCATTGGGAATCACATGATATCAGGAGTGAAGAAAGAACCGCTGATAATAATTTGCGCAAGTGCGAGATTGACGAATTTAAAAAATTATTCATGTTCTACCAAATAAAATTACGTTTTACTAATTAAAACAAAAATTATTCATTTAATACTAAATAGCTAAAATGTCGACTTAATCGTATAATTTTACAAAAATTACTATATAAATTATAATAACGTTCCACCAAATAAAATTATGTTTTACTAATTAAAACAAAAATTATTCACTTAATACTAAATAGCTAACGTAAATGTCCACTTAATCGTATAATTTTACAAAAATTACTACATAAATTACAATAACATTTCTCAGGTATCTCTGACCCGTGCGAAGGTGGCAACATACGCGTTCATACGGCACTGACACTCGAGCAACAAGATCTCGTGTGTCTCACTGCCCAAACGTTGCTGCGCGTGCTGGCTCATGGTGGCTACAGACCGTTGTTGGAGGGCTCCAACAAACTCGCGGTGGAGATGAGCGTGTGGGCGGGAGGCGTAGTGGCAAGCCCGTTGGAGAAGGCGTACGAGCCGCCGACGGAACAGGAGCAGCAGGAGGACATGGACGAGAGCAACGAGGAGATGATCACCGAGAGTGTTTAGGAAACTAAATTAGGAACATTTTCTGAGTTCCCTCTTTTGTACGAAATGCTCCTTTCGGCGTTTCTTATAAAACGTGCCGTATTTATAACACTTGCACACATACATTTCAATGATAAAACGTATTCCGTTGGCGATCGGAAATTATGACTTTTATATGGTGTTGATATTGTGTGATTCGCACCATAGACAATTTGACGATGGAAGTATGCCCCCGTAATGTGAGATTTGACTTAAAATAAAATATAAATTAATGTGCACTCTACCCGATTAAGCAATTTATCCTACTTGCTAAGTTTCTTCTGCACATATAGCACTTCAAGCATCTACACTCAACGATGATTGTATAGGTGTCGTGGAGAGATTTGATCTCTGTTTAGTTTTGCGTAATTTTTTTTTTATCGAAAAATGTATCTCCGATATCTTTCCTCAAACATTTGGCTGTTGTTATCGTGTAAATATGTTGGGAGATCAGTCGGTTGTTTTATATTTCGAATATACTCCTCCGCATGTATTGTTTACCGACGATGCACGTTATAGGCCGCATAATATCGTGTAGTACACATACGAAATGGTGTTTATATATTTTGTATGCAATTTGGCAGTGATATGCACGTCACTCAAGTGTGTAATACGCAGATGTGGTACGGTAGAAAATGTCAGTCTTCATTTGGAACCTAGTGCAGACAAGGATCGTTCTCCGGGGTTCTGGCGACCCGCGCGCAATTGACCGTACGGGAACTGGCGCCCGGCCGGACCGGCACCTTGAAGAGCTTGCCCTGCGGCATGCACACGCAGACCTTGTACTGCTCGTCGCTCGTGGTCGGGCTCTGCAGGAACATGGGCGCCACCGGGATGTCCTTCATGTCGATGGAGACGCCGTCCTTGGCGTCCAGCACGACGCTGCCGTTCACGCTCTTCAGGAAGATGTCGAGATCGGCGCTCCACACGATGTCCTTGCTCTCCATGTGCACGCCCTCCGCGCCGTGCAGCGAGACCTCGCTGTTGGAGCTGATTGCCAGGCTCTCGTTGACCGGCGACGTGATCCGATGGGTCTCCGCGATCCTCACGTCGATCGTTCGGACGCCGTTCGGCAGACCAAAATTCGGGAAGTCTGTGGTGAAGTAGATCGTGCCGGTACGCGGGTCCTTCACCTCGAATGTCTCCACCTGCGATATGGTGGTACCGTTCGGTAGGACGCCTAGCTTCGAGCGCGGATACGCTTCGTGCACGCGTCCGCGGCCCTTCACGTCGACGCGCACCCCAGCCTCGTCACCGGATATCTCCATCGGCTCGTCGCCGTAACTCTGGCAGACGCCGGACTGCAGGGATATCTTGAGGAAATGCAAAGAAGGGTGATTTAATATCAATATCTTGCGAAAAGAGATTGAGTCGCATAAAAATTATATACTTAGATTATTATTTTTATTTTAGTTTTTTTTTCTGTATTTTTGTACATATGTTATTCGTCTTTAAGTGCGGCCAAACATACCTTGTCCAAATCTGTCCTTCCGTAGAATTTGACAAGATTTTCGTCCGGGATTACTTCCATAGCTTCCATTCCCTGACTTATGCGCAAAACAGCGATGACGGTGATGTTTAGGAAAAGATTGCAGAGGCCGATTATCGCCAGGACCAGAGTCAATGTCCAGAGACAGTAACGTCTCTTGGTAGATTTCTCGCCCGTCGACGACATGCCGTACGAAGAAGCGATTGTCCTGTTAACATTACCGAAGCAGGAAATTAATTATCCGAAAATATTTAAATTTAATCCAGCTTAGATTGCACAATATTGGTAATTATTTAATTTGTAATTAATTATTCTGATTATTTCCTATTTATTTATTTATTATTTTCTATTTTCTCTTTCTAATTAATAATATTAATTATACAATACAATAAGATAATATAAAAAAAAAAATTGCACATTAGCAGTAAAGCAATTGACATAATCAGGACATAACAGGTATAATCAAGCAAATTTTTCTAAAGAAAAATATTAATATTTGACTTATTTTATAAATGTTTTTCTTTAGAAATACTTGCATTGGATATAGAATAGCAGTTACTTTTAACAATCTAATACACGATTATTTTTTTATTCACCTCGCATGCATGCTGCCGCAACTATTTTGGCGAATAATGCCCTTAATCAGGGGCCCGTCACTGTTGGACAGATTATCGTCAGCCTTCGATATCGAAGGCGAACCGGTATCATTTCCGCATACATCTAGAAGAGCCGACATCGAACGTCCTTTCGTCTACCTGTCAAAAATGAAATGTTAGATTATTACACGAGCTGTGTAAAAAAAATCAAATGAATAGGTAAATTTTATATATGTATATAAAAAGATATAATTTTATGTAATAGATATAGAAATCGTTTTACTAATTAAAAAGAATTAGTTCTTGTATATCGATCGTTTTACTAATTAAAAAAAATTAATTCTTGTATTTTAATATATTATAAATCAAGATTTCGCTTCTCACTGCTTTTACAGTTTTATTAGAAGGAGGATAATACATCGCGTTAAAATAATGACATCCCGCATGGAAATGATGTATTTGTGAAATGACATTTGATGATTTTATCGACTTGTATCGCTACAAATTACAACGCACCAACGTAAGTACCAATGTACGGTCGCACCGCATGTATAACGATTTGTACCTGGTGTCTTCGGCATCACGATAATCTTAATTAAAGCCAGTAGAACCAGTTTCGCGTTTTGTTACCGAAAATAACACTCTACCAAGGGTCCTTCGCGAGCTGTCGCACTTAACGGCGAGTTTCTCCACGCCGCCGAATATGTATCTGCCCTGGTCGCGAGATGTGCGAGTCGGTCGTTTCGCGAGTCTCCTTACCTCGGTCTGGGACCAGCAGCGTCGCGGGAGAGGCGGCCGCCTCTTCAGATAAAACGAAAATAGACGACCGCGTTACGTTTCCGGACTTTCGTGAATTCTACGACGACCGGGAGCGAATGGAAGTAGGTGAAGATACAGGCGGTCGGCGCTTGCGCGTCCAGGGATCAATGCCGAGTGTCCTCAGGAATTCTACCTACCTCGCGCGCATCCGCCTCGGAGAGCTTGTACATTCGCGCTTCTTTTTGACAACGCGAGAAAATAGAGATCGAATGCCGCGAGCAAACGGAACTATAAAAGTCAAATGAAACACAAAGATTAGCTCCAATTTTCTTATATTTTTATAATGTATAGGTACGTTGTTAAAATATAATTATATATACTGCTAAGAAATCGGGTTTTCAGTAAAAACTCTCGCATTAGAAATTAACTGTGGCGTCGTATAAAAAGCTGAATGTATTTAATATACTTAAGCAAATGGATACATTAAAGTCGCGACCAAACGGAACTATAAAAGTCTACAAAACACAAAGATTAGCTCCAATTTTCTTTATTTTTACAACGTATAGGTACGCAGGATATAATTATATACTGCTAAGAAATCGGGTTTTCAGTAAAAACTCTCGCATTAGAAATTAACTGTGGCGTCGTATAAAAAGCTGAATGTATTTAATATACTTAAGCAAATGGATACATTAAAGTCGCGACCAAACGGAACTATAAAAGTCTACAAAACACAAAGATTAGCTCCAATTTTCTTTTATTTTTACAACGTATAGGTACGCAGGATATAATTATATACTGCTAAGAAATCGGGTTTTCAGTAAAAGCTCTCGCATTAGAAACATTAACTGTGTGACGTCGTATAAAAAGGAATGTATTTAACACTTAAGAAAATGGATACATTAAAGGATGCATTAAATTAAATGAGTAACAATAACATGTATGTTAAAAGCATTCCGGCCACGCGGTTCTTTCTATCCACGGGACGTAATGGTAGACACGGGTGTACACGCCAGGTGCGATGCTGCCGCAAAATCGTCCGAGACTGGTGACTCCGATCACAGTGTACATGCAGTCGTGGACCGTGTTAAAGATAGCGAGTGGTCCTCCGCTGTCACCCTTGAACAGCAATCGAGTATTTATTTAATTTGCCTCTGCTTGTAAATGTTCTCTCTCGTCATAAAAATGATATACGTTTCTTCCTTTCAATTGAAACTAATCGAGCGTTTGATCCCTCGTTAGCAGAACGGATAAAAGGAATTGAATAGAAGCAAACGTAAATCGCGCACGATTGGACTTAACTATAATGGTTATGAAAACGATTCTAAGAAGCTCGCGTTAAAATAAAATTTTCACGCGAAAGAGGATAAAAACTTTCTTTGGTGCAAATGTATATTATAACTGTATGTATACCTGACATGTGTCTTTCCCTCTCTCCCCCGCGCATATTTGCCATTCGTTGATGATCCCTGATGCGAGCTCCAAGGAACTTGCGCCGTCGGAGAAACTCTCGTTACAATAATCATGAGAGACCAATCTGAGTGTTACTTTCAACAGATTGTCCGAACCTTTGTCGTCACCTGGAGAAAACGAAATGACATTCCCTTATTAGTTTCATGCATATACGATATAAAAATAAAACATATCTTTTTATAATTAGAGCAACAGTTAACAGTATTTATGTATACTAGATTTAGTAAATTTAATTTTAGTAATTCACCGTTAATAATTTTCTACAGATTTAAAAATGTCTTAATTTTTTATAATCTCACCCCAGTCGACTACACCCCATCCAGTGGCAACTGCCTTCTCATTCTGACCCACGTCAGGCCACTCAGTCGGAAGACACGCCGGTCTGACATACGCATCATAGATAGCTTCCTTCGCTAGACGCAGTATAGCTATGTCGTGGTATTCCGATGGGCGTTCGTATTCGGGATGCCTTATTCTTTCCGCAACTGCGATAGTCTGCGGCATCGCGTTGTCATTCGATTGAGCGAGATTCAGATCGCCCAGCCGTACCCAGTTCGCGTTTCCCCTTTGTGAATAAGATTTATTATAATTAGTTGATTAATTAAAGTGAGTTTGTAGGAATAAAACGAGTAAAGAAGGCGACTTTTTCTAATTTCGAACAAAATAAACTCGAACAGAATTTTGAAAAGAATTTTAAGGACCTGACGGTAATTATTTTCAATTGTAGTTTTTCATCAATGTTAAATATTCCGACGATAATGGTTGAAACAAAATATTTAAAAATATACTAAAGTTCTAACAAAGTAATTTTATTTAAGTGTTTCAATTTTTTTTAGTATATTATTTAATCGCATCTCGAAGGTTTCGTTTCATTTTTATCTTATAATTACTCTCAGAAATATCCTTGACGTCAATTTGGAGAAAAGATGGATTTTAAATCGATTAAAATTTATGTTAAGAGCTGGAAATATAGTTATAATGACAAGCAAGGCTATCATTTTTTATTTAAGAATACTATAAAAACATTCTTAGTCACTTTTTTATCATCAATTTTTGGAAGAATGAAGAAATCGTTAAAACTTACCAGTCCGCTGTCCAAGTGCAGTGGGCCGCTGTTAAGACGATCTTCTTGGAAATTAAAGTGCCGCCGCAATTCCACAGAATTCCATTGGGACTGTCGTAACCAACGGCCGCCATGTGCGGAAATTCTTTCGCTTCGGCTTTCTTGCCACCGACAATCAGTTTGCGCGTTGTCAGGGCGCATAGCGACATGTTGATGGGTTTCCGATCCAATGTCGGCGTGGGTGGTAGCTGGAAACCGTAGACAGCCTCCGCGCTTTCCGCGCATTCTAAAAAAAAAAAAATTACGGCGATTTAAGAAGATGAACTCGAGCCTCACATCCTAATTGATCTTATTTGTCTTCTCTTATTTAGTCTTCTTGTATGGTAAACTATATAATTTCGTATCTTTTCTCATTAATATTACGAGTCGAATTTCTGCCTAAGTGTTTTTATGCTATAATTTCGTAGAAATGTTTACGCGCAAGATCGATATTTCTTTTTTAGCATCTAGTACGAAAGAAGAAAAAAAAACGTTTTAATTATTTTCCTTATTAAACTCATTTGAGTTCACCGAGAATGTCTATATTGCCGATTTTAGCACTGATAAGCTGATCATTCATCATTGCTAGAAAATGTTTTTGTGCACCATAAGAAACCGTACGTTTTTACGTATTACATGCTTACATAAAGAATTCTGAAGAGAGATAAAAGTGAGATGATCAACTTAGTGCATCAAGTTAGTTTCGATAAATATTGAAGTTGCTCCAGTGTTTCTTATCTTTTATCGGAGAATAAATTGGAATTGAATTCCAATCTATTACTTACTTGATCGCGCTAAAGATCTCCTTGATCCATCCAATATACAACGCTCTGTATTATTTGGTGGTACGTCAGTGTGCGGTTGCAGTGTCGGCGCCGGCGTTGGCTTGGGTTTAGTTATCTGGTTTGTTGTCGGGCAACATATTATCGGGTCGAAACCAACAAATTCACAGATCACAGAGGGAGTTATGCCGGCCAACAATTCATTATAAACTTTCGGGCAGTCTTCTATTTGCTTGCACACACCCGAGACACCGTCGACCACACATGATTCTGGAACAGAAATCGCATTAATGTATTAGGAGTTTTTGTTAATTAAAGATAAAATTAAAGATTATAAATCCAAAGATATTTTTTTCAATTTGAGTTTGCGGTTAAACAATTTTTTAATATAAAAACTTCAATGCGAAACTTCGAGCTGAATTCATAATAGCTTTAAGATACTTGGAGAGGAAAATAGTTGGAATAATTAAGGCTTTAATAAATATACATAAATTATTATTTGAACCGATTGGTAGGCATTTGATAAGTGTGTTTCAAATATAATTTAAGATTTTATTTCTTGTCATATATCTTTTTCCTCGAATCCCCTAAAAAGAATTGAGAAGTCTGATATATAGGCTATCTAAAAAGATAGATAATGAGGCTTTTTAATCTTGTCAACAAGGTCATTAATACGTATTTGTATGCGCTGTAACAAATCAAGAAGTACAGACTTTTTTTCAATAACAGATATTCCTGCAAGCCTCGAAGTTATCATTAAATCATTATGTCGAATACTTATACGACGGATAATACAGATATTACAGAACAAGCAAAAAAAAATCTTGATGCTTGACGTTATTTTGCTTGACACGTCATTGTAAGTAATTATTTAATTCTTTCGCATGCAAGATTAAAAAAAGTAGAAAAACAAAATTACAACAAAAACAAAATAACATAACTATAATTATATCGTAATTAATTATAATCGGAATATTACATTCAGAACTAAAGAAATCTATTGCTAATAAAAGATTTCACTTGACGCGTCGCACACGTGACGAGTCTTTCCGTTTCGCCGAAGAATACGCTCGACACACGCGTGTCGAACAACGCGTATTTTTAGCGTAGAGAACCAATACTCACGTTCAACGGGTTTTCCGTGTGTCGGCGACAGGATCGGCGCCAACACTAACAGCAACAATGGCGAGACGATCGGCATGCTCACTGGCATCTTCGATGAATCGGAATCAAGCCTCGGTCGGGCGCGCGGTCCTCTCGTCTGATCCCGAAGACTCGTCCGCGATGGAAGATATACCTCGTCTAACATGTTCGTTCGGTTCCATGCATACGTTTCCGAACGTTTTTCCCCCGATTCCCCACCCGGTCGCTCGTCCGGCCTAGCCGGTGGTGGGTGACCACGAGGTCATTTCTCGTGATGCACTTCGTGATAAATCAACCGATCGTACGATTCCATTTGCGTCTTCGAGGAAGATGATCATACGTTCGGCAAACCGCTCTAACGACGGATGAATAAGCGGCCAATCAAGTTGTCGCGTGCCGCGAGCTATCTATAACAAGAATTGAAATCTCCGTAATTCCTGTGCGACTTCGATTGAAATCGCTGTAATTTCTGCAATTGCGATTTTTAATGTGTGAATCTGTGTGTCTTTCGCGCTAATCGTCGTACGCTGCTGTCGTCACGGAGAACGGTGTCAAAACGTTCTCTCTGACTGTATATCATTTTGACGTTTGAATTTAACGGGACTGTAGACCCGGATCTTTATAGATGCCCAATGAATATCGTAATCTACGTGATTCTACGTATTACTTACTTACGTGGAATCAGTATTCACGTCTCACAAAAGTCGCTCCTTATTTGGGCGAGATACTGGTCTAGCTCACGACTCTGTTGAGTCGTGAGCTAGACCAGTATCTATATCTTTTCTTGAAATAATTGAATAAAGAACCTGCGACCTTCTCGTTTATACATGGAAAGAATAATGTATTAAAGTACTAATATAATTGGAAATAATTTTATTAATTCGATACTCTCTTTTAATAAAATAGATATTTATTTCATTAATACTGTTACTGAATTAACAAAATTATTTCAAGTAGAATCTATAATGCTGCTAATACATTATTTTTCTCTATCTATTAAAAATATTTTATACAAATGCGTTATGCGTTTATATTGTTTCTTTCATGCAACTGGGATAAAATCGAAAGTTGCGTAAGAATAAAAACGAGGAAAACAGAAGAAACTATTTTACTTCTTATTAACATGACGCGCAAAGCAGGTCGGCATTAATATCTTGAAACTGTATCTGTGTCATTTTATAAATCTCTTATACTACGTTGCACATTTCTTACCGTATTACGTCGGTTTTCTTACCATATTCATCAATGGAAAATACGTATGTTTAACTTCCATAAAGAAATCTTGATGCAAAGTACAAGGTCTTACTTTACAACAGTCTTACTTTACAGGCGACGGGAGGCAAAATGTTAGCGTTATAATTGGATATAACGTAAAAGTAGAATGTGGATTCTTTGAAAGCTTTCGTGAGCGAACGATCTTTTTAAATCTTTTACGACAGAGTTTTCTAGATAGATTATTACGATTAATAATTTGTTCCGCTTTTACAGTATCACTATTTCGTACATGAGTTGCGTATTACCAAGCTATTAGAAACCTAATGATGATTACACGGTTTTCGATACGTCAGATGCCGAGCTTAATACACAGAACAAATCCGATTCGATTCATCATGATCGACATCACGACGCTGCCAAAGACCCGATAGGTTTGATAAGGCAAGTTTCATTACGAGCGGACTACGTGTACAGGTCCAGGGATGTAACGTTTGTCCGAATGTTATCTGCAAGAAGTTGATAGGGCAATAATAACTATTAATAGTTTAGTGATATGTTAATTATTCTGTGGCAAATAAATTAATAAGACTGTGTACGAAAACGATAGTATTTTTATGAATGAATTAAAGTGTCAAGTGTGTGTTAACAATTTGTATTCCACGTGTTCTAGAAGGATGTGTAATAATGCAGCAGGATGTGTAAATAGCGCGTGTTTAAGTAACAATAATGAGATGGTTTCTGAATTAATTAAATGGAATTCGTAAGCGCACTCTTTGATTAATTCAAGGTCGAGCTTTCTCAATAAAATTCTCGTGAATTATCTCAGCGATATGCGTGAATAACATAATAGAACTTTTGAATTCTTGCGCATCTTTACTTTATAAAAAATTAATTTACCAATATAATATATTAAACAATTATCACAAATAATATAGAAAAATTATTTTCAGATTCATATATCCAAGTATTTACGCAAACATAATATATTTTTCGTGTTAAATCTGAGAAATTATGTTACAATTTAATCGATGCATGAAAAGAAGAATATTTTTTATCCGAACGCGCAGCGTGAATAATGATTACGTAGTTTAAATATAAGAATATACGACTCAATTTTTCTACGAAATAGCTGTAGTTATTAAGGGACAGTACCTGGTTACTGGAAATAAACGTAGATATTTAATGAAATGCACCAGGAAGAATTCAGAGGATACGTCATTGCTTGTAGTTCCGCTAATATCATTAATGACACCTCGACTCACGGGATCGCCGATCGTTAATAAACAAACCTATGATCGTCGCGCGCAATCCGCATGCACTTCGTTACGCATTATCCATCGTACTTAAGGCGAGAATTCGCTATTAAGGCCTTTGTTCGAAGAAGGTGTCGAAGGTGTCGCGTATCGGACTCGCAATATGCACAGAAAGCTCGCGATCGCATTGTTTGTCGCTATCTTGTTCGGGAATCCCCTTTCCGCGGCGCGAAAAAGTGAAGAAAGTTAGTGATAGTCTGTCTCTGCTTCGTTATATCCGCGATCGGATTCGAAGAATTGTTTATTTCGAATGTACGCACACATGTCATGACCCCAATATATCTTAATTCTCTGTTAAAATCACAATTTTTTTATAGGCAGAAATTGATTGAGAAATCACACAGCAGTTTTATAATCTCTGATACATTAAACGTCGTAGCAACAACATTAAGTACAAATTTAAATAGATATCTATATTTGATCTTCTAAATTGATCTTCAATTAACATAATTTAATAATCTTAAACTTAAGTTTTATCTTCGATTTTTCAAAATCGAGTCTGAACCGTAAAATTTTTTTGTTGCAGAAAAATCGATTCTAGTTTTATTTATGTCTTAGATCGTTATCACATAATTTGCATTACAAATCTAACTCTTATGAAATTCTGAAAAATGTAATATTTATTATGTCGATATCATAAGCTACTTTTAGAACTTCTCTTCATTACGTGAGAGTAATGAAGTACGCGCTTCGTGATTATAAGAAGTATGCGTAACTTGTTGACATCAACATATATAAATGGATGCGAATATTTCGCAGGGGACGCGTGATTAAGTAATCATGACGTGCAATGATAAACCAAAGAGCTACGCACTTGGCAGGCACAATATTGCGCGTGCAAAAATGAGTAATAAAGTAATTTCCATATATTCCCATACGTTCCCCGCACATCGTAATTGCACCATAAATCGTCGATTGCATCGATTTTTCCCACCCATTTTCTGCTACGATCCTGATTTGCATAATTCCCACTTTTTTTCCGCAGAATGCAAAGAATACGCCAATCTGGTTTACGAGACCGAGAACTCGCCGACTTTGCGTATAAATGCCGGCTCGAATAAAGTCTCCCGTTGCGCCGTTGTCGAGACACCTCTAATCATCGGCGGAATCCAAGCGAAACAAGCGGAATTTCCGCACATGGTGAGAACAAATACACGTCTATCGCGGCAATCGCAAAAATGACAAAAGCTACATATAATACATATGTAGCGTTGTCAATGTGATAAATATAGTGTAAAATATTGACTATTGAAAATTGTCTTCTAAATTCTGATTACTTAATAAAAAATGGTATCATTAACTGCTATATGTGATACAAAATTTATGCTTGTATAAAATTAAAGTAATTACAAATGTGTAGAAAAATATAAAAATTATAGTATATGTATTATAATATGTATAATGTATGTACCTAATATATTTTTTGCAAGAATTGCAAAAAATATATTAGTCTTTGTTTAAGAATAGAAAATAATTTAATAATTTTAATTATTAATTATATAATATTATTTTGTGATTAATTATTGTATATTATTTTTTATTCAATAATTTTTGTTTCCTTATTATTACACATTTACGCAATGCATAGCATTCACGTTTTTACGTGGCATTTGAAAAACATATGATAACATAATAGATTTCCATGTATCGCTTTAATCATCAATTAATTGATGTAATTAACAGAGCAGTATTATCCATATCGTAGGCGGTGATCGGTTATGGCAAGCCCGACGTGTCCTGGCAATGCGGAGGAAGCGTTATCTCCGAGAATTTTATTCTGACCGCGGCGCATTGTGTGGAATCTCCGGACAAGTAACAGTCTTGTTACATTCATTCCTTCTCACTTACACTATTACTAACGTTATCTTGTCTGGACATCGAAAAAATTATATTATTACTAATATTACCTATGTGTTTTTCAGGGGTCCCGCAACCCAAGTGCGAGTCGGCTTGATCGATCTGTTAACGCCGGGCGATGCTATGCAGGAGAGGAACGTCGCGGAAAGAATTAGGTATCCGGATTACAAGTTTTCGGTCAGGTATCACGATATAGCGTTACTCAAGCTCGAACATCCGTTGGAGTTGAATCCTCGAGTGCGACCCGCGTGTCTCGAAGTATATTCCCAGATACCGGGCAAAAGCGCTATCGCCTCTGGATTTGGAAAAACATCCTACGGTCAGTATCTTTTAAGCGTGTTATGTGTTGCATTGTTTACATTATTTTATATTAATTTAACCGTTATTTTATTGATTAATATTAATTTTTATATTGAGAGACGTAACGTGAGATACTCTGTCTTCAGAATCCAGTATCGGTAGCAACGAATTGATGAAGGTCCAGTTGAATTACATTTCCGACGACGAGTGTAAAAAGGCTTACGCTGAGGATCTCGGTACTCGACGGCTGCCCGAGGGTTTAATATCGAGCTTACTTTGCGCTGGCATAATGGAAGGCGGTAAAGACACCTGCCAGGTGTGAAAAAAACTCAAAATTGTTTTTAAATCTTTTTATTTTTTTTTAACGAAGTTTTGGAGAAATATCTCTTATATTCTTTAGATTAATAATTTTGCATCAATCTCTTCACTTATCTTTGAATCATTTCGACTTTCGGAGTTCTAGATTTTAATTTAAGACTAAAAGTATATATATTTCTAATCTCTTATTATAAATATATAGGCAGGTATATTAAGTAGATACAAATAGATAAATTTTATCAATTAAATACAAGTAATATATTCAAAGTAATAATCTTTGATAAATCTTAATATTTGACAAATAGATAAATTTTATAAATCAAATACAAATAATGTATTCAAATTAATAATGTTTGATACATTTTATTTTATATATGATTATATTTTGTTAAATATAATCGCATATATTTTAAAGAACTTACATTTAAGAAATTGAAAACGATTTGAATAAAGTTAATTTGACATTATTTGCAGGGCGACAGTGGCGGTCCATTGCAAAGAATCCTTGCGGAGCCTTATTGCATGTACAGCATCGTGGGTGTGACGAGCTTCGGCAAGTTTTGCGCCTTTAAATCATCGCCCGCGATATACACCCGAGTCAGTTCTTATCTCGATTGGATTGAGAGTACCGTTTGGCCGTAAAAATTAAACACGGAAGCGTATCAACGAACGCAATCCTCAAATTTAATTCCAACGGTTTCGAAGAACAAACAGTGGAGAACAATTATGTGTAAAGTCATTGAAGTGGGTGAGAAATTGAGTAATAATTGAAATAAAAAAAATGACAACATCACCATATTATCATCACTGTAACTTTTTATTGCAAAAGAGATAATAGTTATTCATTGGTATTTACAATGCAGTACCCAAAATGTATGTATATACGTACGATCCAGTGTAATGAACATTTGCAACTTATGCACTTTTACACAGGGAGAATATCCTAATTAATAACAACCAACAATGATAAAATGTATACAATATATAATGATTAATACGCTCTGTAAAAATAGAATAATATTTCAACCCACACAATTCAGATAAAAGAAGGTAAAAACAACGCCATAACATTAACTTTAACAGATGTTATATATAGTATGTCCAGTATATATTGGGGAGGATAGACACGTAAAATTATTAAATAATTATTACAAGTGGCAAGGGTACACGAATAAACGGAAAAGAGAACGAGGACTTACAACGCGATAAAAAATCTACAGAGACGTGATCTGCTTATTAGAAGAAATATCTCGGTAATCGTCCAACAAGATAAGAGATGCTTAAAACTTCCATCGAGACGCAATTAAAATCCTTAATGAGTACGTATATTATTTACATTATGTTACGTGTGATTTAAGTTATCAGTCTTACGGCTCTCGAAAGGAAATTACGCGTATATATGTACGCACACACGCGAGCGCGAGGTCTCTCGCTATACTAATTAGCAACTGATATTCGACGAATGGACGCGAACTCGATCTGGAGCATGTAACACCGGTACTACAAACTGGCTTCTTCGTGACAGAAACTACCGATCATCTCCCACGTATCTCCGATACATTTGTTCGCAAGTTTCTTTGGACTCGCTGCATCGAAGCGCGAAGAGAATAAAAGGAGCGAGGGAAATATACAAGAATAGAAAAGAGAATCAAGGAGAAGAAAAGGAAAGACAAAGCGTAAGAGAAATAGTGGAAATAATATCGGTTCGTTCATCGAAAGATTTGACGTTAAAAAATTATCTCGCTGCGAGAAAGCGTAACGCGAGAAATGGAATATCGATCGTTTATCCACTTTGAAGAATAGAAGGATCCCTACGGAGCGGAGAAAGCAGCCTCCGTTTACCAAGTTGCTTATAGTCAAAGCCCCGAATGCAGAACGCGTAGAGCGGCGTCTGCAAATCACCGGGTGGAGTTCGGCCGTCTCTTCGTTATAGTTATGCCGTTATATGTACGTTTCTTTCCAGCGCAATTCCGCAAAGCACTCTCTCATTCAACCGCGAAAGCAGTGCCGCCTCCGGTTGCCCGCTCCTTCCACGAAAGCAAAGCTCAGGTCGCCGAGCGCTCGAACGTCGCTTTCGCTTAACAACGCGGGTGGCATTGTATTTCCGTGCGCGCACCGGCCGCACACTATTATAAGTTTAGAGAGAGAGAGAGAAAGAGAAACGTGCATTTAATTTCAAACGAGAGACTTGAAGGAGCGCAGGCATACAGACATTGAAGTGGCAGGCGTGCTTTGAAACGGCGCTGGAAGAGAGTCAGAAGTGACTTCAAAGAAACGACCCTCGGCACTCGGAGTACGCGGAAGCCAGCCAGATACGAGATAAGAACTACTGATCAGCGAGAGATGCTTGGTGCCAGAAAGTATCACGTCCGAAAGATTCATGCGTTCACAAGCATTTATGCTGCACTCCGTCGTTGCTGATCCGACGCGAGTCTTCGCGACCGCGCGCGCTGACCGCCAACTCGTGAATACCTGGAACGAGGTTCGCTGAACGTTTTAACAATAATACATAATTGAAACAAATATACATAAACCCTTTTCAGATTCACAGATTCACACTAGGGAAAAATATCAAATATATACAATAATTCGACTTGATGCACACATTTCTCACAGATTTCCTCGTTCTGTAGGTATTCACGAATTAATGGGCCGACGTTGTGTATACACACTTCAGCGTCCATTCGTATCGCGTACAACGTAATCGAGCTGTTCGCCAATGGACTCGTGCGCCTTTATCGCGGTTCATTCGTTTGTTCTATTTATTCTTAAGCCCTGCTCGCGCTTGAATGCGTCGATTCAAGCAAGCGGGAACGGTCCGCAAAACGCGTGTGTACATACACGTATCGCGTGTACACGTCTATAACTCTGTATATACATATATATAAAATATCTTTGTTAAAAAAAAATTGAGACGTGAAAGCCAATGATAGTTTAAAGTATATATAGTAGTTGCGCTTTAAATAAGTAGTTAACATTTCACAAGATATATAGGGTACAGCGGGGTAATTCGAATAGTGAGGTAATTTGGACAACAGTAAGCATTTGCAAGAATTTCAGAAAAATAAGAGATTTTAAGATATTCATTAGATCAATGTCTGATCTAATAAAATGTATATTAAAATCTCTGATTTTTCTGAAATTCTTGCAAATGCTTACTATTATCCAAATTACCCCACTATTCAAATTACCCCGCTGTACCCTATCTAGTATCGTTTACCTTCTCAATCCGATGATGTTTCTATAACAGCGCGGTGCAATGACCGCCGAAATTTTTGTCTTCACCGTGCGAAGCTATATTTACTTATCTTCTAATCGCGAAACGATACGCGCCGAAGGAGGAACTACGAAGGAGTATGGCATGTAGCACCGTTTAGAAAAGAAATATGCCGTTAACAATTATCACCTCGTCGTTTCCCGCTGATTCACATCGAACGGGTACCTCGCACAATGTTTCTCACCCAAGCCAGAACAAGCAAGGCCACAACAGCAGGTCAAAATGACGTTAAAATGACTGATGACTCGAAAAGTGAAACTTTTTTAATAATCATTTTGACGTCATTTTGATGTCATGATGACTTGTTGTTCTGCTTGGGCAGTTGTTAGTTTAACGTAACTCCTCAACAACACGATAACGATTATACATTTATACCATTGCCCGAATAACGCAGTAATAGCTGGTTTAAAGAACGTATAAACATGACATTTGCAACGATCAAATTTCACGGGTTTGCGTTGCCGGGGCGGTGAGGCGTACACACGCTGGGCACTACGAGACAAACCTCTATAATTCCTTAAGGCAACACCTAAGGCACAATCGCAGTGTAATTTTACGCGATAATCGCAACTGTTAGCTACGCTGAGACCTCACGAGATCCACGAGCATTTCTCTTGTCTCCCGTTATGGTCGTAAAATATAATTGACACATACACACTCGGTCGACGATTCGTGTTTCGCAGAGAGGATCGCATTGAGAGTGTCGGAAAGATGGAAAGGTGGAAGATAGAGAAAAAAGGAGAAAAAAAAGGAGAAGCGTATAAAAGAAGAAATATGGAGAAAGCTTACAGAACTATAATATTAGCCGATATGACGAGACCAGCGAGGTTTGGATCGACTCGAGAGTGGAGGCTGATTCCCGAGGCGGACTTCTGTCCGTTGGCGGGCCGAAAGTCCCAGGAATGAGGAAGCGAAGGAGGAAGTAGAGGACGTTCGAGAAGATAACGTGCGACGATGATGTTCGCGTTGTTCGAGCGTGGCTACTGGGGTCATATAGCTGGAGGAGCGGACGCTGCTGGATGATCTTGATGAACCGGTCGTACGATGTCGCAGATGCTGGAACCTGAAACAATAACGATACACGATATAAGACAAGAGATACTACGATCAGTAATTTTGATTGATTCGAATAATAATATATAACAAGCCTAAAAAAATATATATTATTAAATAATTGCGATAAAACAATAGTAGGAAAATGTAGAATGTAGAATACACTAGATATGATAAATGTGGTATCTATTCAAGCGCTGAGGAAATGAATTTCTGTATACCGACAAACGCAACGAAGTACGATCAATCAAAACGCAATACTTTTAAAAGCCCGCACGATTAAAATTCTGCAATTGGAATCTACAAAAATTGGAAACGGTAGATTAATGATATATTAATCAAGAAGTGGTGTCGCGGTAAGTCCAATCTCCATCGTCTACGTTCGCAATTAAAATGCACAGCGTGTCGCTGCATCCACATTTAACCAGTTTCGCGAAAACTGATCGACGCTCAATAGTTTCATTTGCCGTGTTAGAGATGTTCCGTTTAATTTATGTAAAATAAACGTCGAGGTGTAATTGCTAAAAGAGGACGTTGTCAATGGACGTTTAAATGATCTTTTTACTTTGCCGGCGCACAGACCGGCCGCGATTAAAAGCGCCTTCAATCTCGGCGACGGAATTGAAACCGCGTCGGCGAGGTCTCGGCGACGGCCGCCGGCTGCGATTTCCAGGGGCGGTTAACAATGCTCGCGGCAATTAAGACGGCTGCCTATTTCCCGGCGACACGGAATGCACGTGTCGCGCACGTAGGTATATGTATTACATATACGGGAACGCGTGCAAACACGCTGCGCGAGCGAGCGAGTAACGAGCACAATCGCTCGAGGTTGTCGAGAGAAGTCGAGATTACCCCGGTCCGTCCCACGCGTCTAGACGTCTCAAGGCATTTTTTTTCGTTTTCTCCTTTTCTTTCCCCCTCTCTTCCCCCCTCTCTCTCTCACTCTTTCTCTCTCTTTCTCTCGCTCACGGTGTTCACCAAGGCGTGGTTACCACACGGCGTGACCGCGGCGCGGCACGGACGCCGCGGCGGTATACACGATCCCGCGCCACCGCTTCTCGCAACCACGCCTCGAAATGTCTACAGGATATCTCAGAAGTCGCGGCACTTCCTCCGCACCGGAGATACAATTCATTGCTAAACTGTCTCAATGTCGAGAAACACGTTGCAGATAAAGAGAGTTCGCGCGAGGGTTCAACCCTCCGATGCACTCCAAGGATTAAAGCTATTCCTGCACGGCTCCTCCTTATCGCGCACATGCAACTACAGCGATACCGGATTACCGAGAAATTATATTCTGGTTTATCGTATCGCGTCGTACTCGGAGAGCAATATGTACGCTTTTCTCAGTTGTTTTTATCCCAAAATTTCGTCGTACGAATAAAATTGTCGTGCGAGATGATAATTGGATCATACATCTGAGGTTAAGAGGCCATCACATCATTTGGCATCAAAAAATTATAAATGGATGTTGACTGCCGGATGTTGTCGAGCGGTGTCCGACTTGAACTACTCTTTGAAAAAATGAAGATTGTACTCTCTAAAAGTAAATCAGTGAAATCATCACTGATTATCAGGGTATATACAGTGCAAATGTATGATTTTCCAATGGCATACTTGGAATTGTGATAAGCAGTGACTATTTTAATGTTGTTTCAGTGATAATATACTGATTTAAATAGTAAATATCACTGAAAGATAATGAGTTTCACTGTCAAACAGTTTTGAAAATTAAAATTCATCGTTTTTCGCAGTGATAATTACTGTTTGAATCAGTATATTATCACTGAAACAATATTAAAATAGAATCAATGTTCATCACTTTATCACAATTCCAATTATGCCATTGACAAATCATACATTGAAAATCAGTGATGATTTCACTGATTCACTTTTAGAGAGTAGTCTGGAGAAAAATTGTTTGCAATGACATAAATAATCTAAAAAAAAAATCAAATGTCGAACTAAAAAATTAACAAACACTGCTAAAGAAATATCTAAGTATAATAATGTATTATATTAATAAAAAATAATAAATAATCAAGCTAATAAGTGTTAAAGTAGTTAACAGTGTAAAAAGAGAAAGGCACGAGAGAGTATAGTGCTAATGCAGCGCTTTAAAATTTCTCAAGCGGATTTCCACTTGGGAAATATTTTTATTCCCATATTCATTTAGAAATCCAGAATCGGCAGCACTCTTCATTTGAGACATCCTGTACATATCTTCATGGATGAATATGTATATAATCGAATGATATCTCGTATTGAGGCAAACCACGGTGTCGTACTTTTAAATACGTTACCCCTCCCCCCCCGCCCCCCGCGTTGGCATAACAAGTTTGCTTAATTCTTAAGCGAGGAATTAAAAGCTTTCGTGCCTGAAGTAATCCTTTCTCGGAGGAGCGTTCAAGGGATAAATAAATTTCTTTCAGAATTCGCATGAGAAATATAACTGCCGATATTTTAAAAAGAATATTTCAATAATTTTAATATAATTTGAAATCTTCCAATTAAAATTTGCATATATGTATAAAATTCTTTCTGATATATTTTATCAGAAAAAGAAATATGCGAATGTTTAAGAATTTTATGAAAAGGCTGATCATCGATTAAATAATAGTCATTCACAAACGAATCTTAAAACATTCATAAAATGAAATTTGTGAATTATTCATCGATAATAGATCATCGTCTCAGCGAAGTTTCACATTCTGTAAATTACGTGCACGATTATATTTCGTGTGCATCGCGATTTTCCGCGGCCTGTTACACGCGGTCCTCTTCGTTCGTCAGAATGCCTGAAAACGTGGGTATTAAAGCCACCTGTTCGGCCTGCTGCCGAACGTCATCCGCGGGAAAGCGCGTCGCGCCGACAAATACAGACGGATTTAGCGGCACCGGAGCGAAGTGGGTTAACGCGTTCGCACCAGGGTCGGGTTTCGCAAAACTCGAACGCGGAGCCGTCGAACCGAGTCGAACCGAGGGCGAATCTCCGCGTCGCGGATATGCGTACATCTCGCGTGCCGCGACTCGGACGGATCAGGGTCGAGGACATTTTTGGCGCTTGGAAAAGATCCGTTTTGTTTGTTATACTTATAATAGCGAGCGCGAACGAAATACATCGCCTTGTCAATTGGCAGTATGTCAAGGACACTATTTCCTTTTTGGCCGTGAAAATAATCCGAAAATCTTGCCGCTAGACGTTGCTGAGCCTTGAAGCGGTGATACGCGGTGATACTACAAGCAACCGTCAGACGTTGCGTCTCGGATAAGAAAGCAGGAGTATCTCGTTTGGAATATCGTTAACGAATCGGCGCGGCGTGTCGTCCAGACGGAGAACGCAGCAAGCTCGACGTTTCGCACTACCGGCACACGAGGGAAAAGAAAAAACACTGACAGGGTGAATGAATGTATGCGTAAGTATACATACGTATATGTGCCTTCGGAAAGGCGATTAAAAGTTATCGCCCCGACGATACCACGTGGGCCGGTCTCCCCTTCATTCACTCGTGACTTCAGCGTTATTTATATAACATTTATCGAAAGATTAATACTCGGCTTGGTTATTGGACGCGTCCAATTTGATTCCATCACATTCGTAACACACCTACTTTGTGCACGTCGATTTTGTCGACGAAAAGATCTTTCCGCGTTTTCACACAATTTCAATTCTCGCTACGGAATATCTCGAAAACCAAGAGCCTGGAGCTCAAAATTCATTAACCAAAATCCACTGGAAACTAAATTAAGCGGTAAGACTTTATTACTTATTGCAGCAAGTCGATCACACAAACAGCCCTCTCATATGTCTCCGTCGCTTTCAAGTCAAAGGAGGAGGTCTCGTAGAGGAAGTGTAACTCTTTTATTTTCAAGAGTTCGCGATACAATTCTTGAATTTTTTTTATATTCCATGTATTATGACGCGACGATATATATACAGAGACGGAACAGAGAGGGCAGAGGGGAAGGGAAGAACGAGAGATGAAAGGAGATGCGACGTGAAACGTGCATGCGTGAGGGAATGAAACCCGGCGTGTCTTGTCATTGCGTGGTAACAACCTTTCGTCAAGGCGATTAGAGTCGCGCGACTCTCCTCGTCGGGCGGGCATGTTATCGCGCTTGTCTCGCGCACGACGACATCGACGGTCGACCGTACGTTATTTATAGAGAGAAAGTCTCAAGCGCTCGCGCGGCGAGAAAGGCCGTTCGAAATTTTGCGAGGTGCCGCGATTTCGCGATCGCGCCGCCGCGATCGATCGATCACGAAATCGCCGAGACGATAACGAGAGACGGAAGATTTCGTTCTTCAAAGAGCTTTCGGCTATCCTCGAGAGAAAGCTCGTTGCACTTGCCGGTTAATAATAGCTCCTAGAGCGTGGTACTATTCCGTCTGTGCGCGCGCGAGACGTAAATAGATAAACTGCCGTCGTAAGTTCAGTGAGTGGAAGTAAAGAGTTTCACTTTGCAATGTTCAATGAATTTTCGCGTCGCAATGTTCTTTCTTCTTCTTAAATTTATGTTTGAAAGAAAAAAAAGTGTGTAGATGTAGCCAGCTGATATTTTTCAAAGCTTCTATTTAATATTTTACAGTAGAAAAAAAGCTCGAAGTTAAACTTTTTTCATTATTGAAACAAAAATCTTAATTAGTTAGTAAAAAATGTTACGTTGGATAAATTAATTTAACATAAATCGTTATGTATTTTCATTATAACGCAAGATTTTTTTATTATTTATTGTTTTCTCTTAAAATATTTTCCACGTTTATTTAACGAGTAAACGTTCTCGCAAGTATACTTGAAATATGCTTCATTAAAATTCGAGAGCATATTATATTCCCTCTAAAAGCAGCATATTGATCTTGTGTGAATGTTGCTGCATTGAAAATTCGAGTACGATGTATCGGTATATGTATAACTGCATGATTCTCGCTTTTTATTTTATGTCGCGCGTGCATGGATCAATCTATAAAAATACTTGCCATTTCAAGCACGCGTAAGGAATGTAAAGCTACGAGTACTCGAGTAGATCCGTTCGGCTTAAGTATGGCGGTGAAAGTTGACGAAGAATCAAATTTACGAAACGTACGTGCAACGAAACTCGATATGTTTGCGCGCGTTTGATTAAACATTTCTATTCTGGAAGAATTACTTAAAAAAAATGCGCGCGCGTAAACATTTTGCGTGTATACACGTGTATGTTCTCTTAAATAATGTAATTATTAAAAACTGTGTGTCCCCTCTCAGATTTTCGTTCCATCGCGAATGTTTAAGTACATATAGCGCTTACTCAGCATTTTCTCAGCGTTTATAAGCAGCATTTTATCACGCGAATCGCTTCTTTCTTTCAGGCAATCGTGAAAATAAGCGCTAAAACTCGGCGAAGTATTCTTACACGAAAGAGGCGATAAGGGGAGAGAATCGGGGCTTACCGTGCAGATTGCGTTATCCGACGCTCGGCGTCGTCCGGCTCCGCCGCCCGCGCTATCGCTCCCTCCCGTTTTCGTTCTTTTTTTTCTCCCGCACGCGCGCTCTTGTTTCCTCGTTCTCAATTCGTCGCACAGCATCTCTCTCTTCACGTCCTCGCGTTTATTCCTCCCCGTTCCCACGTCCCTGGCGACTCACGTGCCTCGAGATGCCTCCTGTGCTGCTCGTGGTCCCGCGTGATCTACGTCCCGGCGAACGTCGCCGAGGTGAGAAGGACTTGGAAGAGTTTGTACAGCTTCGTACATGATGATATTTCGATACCGAGACGAAGGGGGGCCACACGACCTCCTCGCCCGGTCGATTCACCAGTAGGGCGCGTCGTTGGTCAGGTGCTGCCAGGACGCGAACTCGCTCCAGGTACGCATGTTCAACCTGGTGGCATCCGCGATCTGCGGCACGCTGCCATCCCTCGTCCCATTGCCGTTAGAGAGCCCGTCGCATTTCGCCGTCTGGACATTGTCATATCGTGTCGCCGGCACTCGGGGCTGAAGCATCGGTACAACGTGTCTCAATCCTCTGGCAAGCGCGATGAATTTAAAAAAAAAATTCGCAGTTTATTTAAATTTTCAATTTACATACGAAAAAGGAAGCAAAGGAATCTTCACGAGATATATATATTTCTCTACTTTCTGAGCGTTAAGATAAAATAAAAACTTTGAGTATTGCGCAAAGAACGAGATCGTCTTTCGGGTATGTGTATCCTAGAGAGAGTATTTAGCCATGAACATCCTTGAAAATCAATAAACCACGGATTTATGATGGATCGCCTCTGCTTGCGGCAAATATTTGATGGAGATCCGAAGATCCTTCGGATATGCATATTCGTAAATAAAATCACATAACTTTTACGAAATATGTCAGTCCGTCAGTCAGTGGAGTACCGCGTACATCGTTACAAGGACTACAAATAGAAGTGACGTCACGGATACATTAAAGATATTCCGCGCATATGAAGAGATTAAATAATCCTTTTTTTTTTTTTTAATACTTACCTCCTGCTTTTTCCTAACCACATAGTTTTGGCTCTCGTTGTTGTCCCACGACTCCCTGCCCTCGGCGCGATACCTCACGCAGAACTCGATGACGTTCGACGCCACCGGCAAGGTGAGCCGGAAACGGAAGGTGTCGTACAGGATGAGGGGACCCGGCGACCCCGGCTGCGCCACGTATGTGCAATGCACGTCCTCGTGGGTGGACCAGCCGTCGCTGCTGGCCCTTACCACGACCTCCTTGTCGTAGGCCAGATTCCGTACCTTCACCGTGCCCACCAGACACTGCTCGGACTCGCGGACGATCACATTCTCCAGGCTGACGTTGTTCTGATCGAGCTTACGCCGAAAGGCGAGATAGTCGCTCGCCGGCTGCGGGAAGGTCACCTGCCACGGCGGCGTGGCGTCCTGCGCCGCTTCCTGACTCTGATCCTTCGATATGCCGAGCAGACCGCCGGTCAGGCCGGCCACGTAAGCCGTGCTCCACAGTGGTGGTACGTTGCTCGGTTCCGACATCACGCGAATCTACGTATGCCAAATCAAGCGAAATCTTGAAATATAGAATGGCAACAAATTGAGAGAGAGAGGAAAAAGTTAATTGGACCTAATATTAATCCGACTGCTGATGGATGATGCAGTATAATGATAACAGATTGGAACTAACGCGTATAGTTTCTTTTGTCAGACGGTGAGACAAACACACAAGTTATTATTAGAAAATTATTGCGAATCATTCGTGATTAAAATCCTCGTTAACTTAACATCATTAAATTTCGACTTGCAAGCTTGATTAGTTACTAATTGAATAACTCATTGTAATTTTATTGTTTAATTTTCATAGTTATAAGATAATTCTATTAAAGATTTTGGCGCATTAGACGGATTTAAATTGTCTCTTGGCGCTTACTTTTGACACGAATCCAGTTCACACGCTCGTAATACACTTTATCATATACACGAAGTGAAAATTGTCAAAAAGCTTGCGATTACCAGCGCACATGTCAAACGCGTGATTTGCGGGCCCCTGGCCAGATGTTACCGCACACTACTTCAGTAAGAACAACTTTAAACAAAAACCGTGATTTAAAAGCAAAGTAAAGAACGTTGTTTGACCCGTCACCCGTACTATTGGCTTTGCCTATCTCGTTATTTGCCTTTCGTAAGTAAACTGTAGATGTGTGTCCACCTTGCGGTGTAATGGTAGCCGAAATTATACGACCTTTCGCGATACGACAGATTTATTCTCATTAAGTTTACGAGATCTTCTTTCTTTATTCTCGCTGAAGAAGATAACATCATTCGGCGTTTGTAATACGCGAGTAATAAAATCCATCTGTCATAAAAGAAGACCGATGTGTAACTCATCTCGACGGAGGCAAAGAGAAAATCGCGGAAATACCTGTGTGAGAGGGCGGCCGCGATCATCGGCGAACACCACCCGTTTCTTCTGTTTGCCATCGTTATTTCGCAGCGAGTCCAGGGACAAGGATCCCGAAGAAAGGCACGGCCTGATTCTGGGCGGCACCGATCGGCTGGTGATCGTCGGCGCCGTGACCACCAAGGGGCCGTACAGCAGGGGGCTGTACACCGGGGGGCTGTGCAGCATCAGTTCGGCCGGCATCGCTATCGAACACATTTAGACCTGCAAACGAAAGGAGATCGAGTTTTATTACCGTTTTATTATCGCACATACGCAAATATCGATGTTAGTAAATGTTACTCTTATTGTTAGAACAGAAAGAACGCTCCGCACTTTTACTTCGGCCTTTAAAGTTTCAAAATCGAGAGAAATTTTGAAATGTAAATTTTATACGTTCTAAAATTAGACGTCTATTATATCTTATATAATATGAAAGAGCTGTATTTTTATGTTATTAATTTACATGTTTACGATTTATCTTGTGTTTTCTGGACCACTGATTAAGAATATAATTTGCGTCGGCGGTGTTGTCTTTTGCACACTTTCTAATTCGTTTTTTTACTCTCTAAAAGTAAATCAGTGAAATCATCACTGATTTTCATTATGTCACTGTATATTATTTTCCAATGGCATATACTTTGAATTATGATAAATAGTCACTATTTTAATGTTGTTTCAGTGATAATATACTGATTCAAATAGTAAATATCACTGAAAGACAGTGAGATTTTCACTGTCAAACAGTATTGAGAAACGAAATTCATTCTTTTAGTGATACAACATTGAAATAGTCACTGCTTATCACAATTCAAAGTGTACCAGTGGAAAATAATATACATTAAAAATCAGTAATGATTCCACTGATTCACTTTTTTTTAGAGAGTATGAGTATAATTGTAAAACTATGGCAAAAGCGACAGAATTATACACGAGAAATCGAACGAGACTGGAAACATGCCACTTAATCTATTTAATAGCACTCTGGCGCCTGAAATTTATTGACGATGAGACGCCTCTCATCGTCAATATGCCGTTAGCATTCATTTTCGCCACGTCGTGGGCGAAATCTACGAACGATATAGCATTCAAAATTGTCAGGAACGTCTCTTGGCTGCCAAAAATTTCGTCGACTACTCGAATCATCCCCGGATCACGTGGATCCGTACGAATCTCGAGGCCATTGAAAATATTTGTTAACTATATCGATCGAATGCCAATTAGTTGCCGATACGCGTGACATATCATCGATTTACTAATCGTATTGTTTGCAATGACAAAAACAATCGTACCTTTATATGTTATCAACCTGAAGACCTTTATACCTTATAAGAACTTATATATACGATAAGCGCGCATAATCCACGCCAGTGTATTTTGCCCAATTATCAATTATTATCTACTCTACGTCAAACGCGGCCAGATATGCCGTCAATGATTTATTCGAGTGCATTACAGTATCTTGCAAAGTGATCTATTTTATGTATTACGTACGTGCATTTTTGTTCCGAGATACGGTACGATAGCACAGTTAAAAAGTGAACGGTATAAGTGATTAAAGGTTATCATAATCCTGCCACATAAGTAAGATTTATTACATCTTATTAATATGAGTTTTTAGATTAAAAAATAATATATAGGGTGTAATAAAATCATCTAGAATCGATTTATCCTTAACGAGTATTTGACGGGAGAGAGAGAGAGAGAGAGAGAGAGAGAGAGAGAGAGATTTTACTATTTGTCAAAGCAATTTAAATCAAATATTTCTTGCATATAATTTTTTCTTTAAGTAACGTTCGTATCTTTCTGTATAGTCTGCAATTATTATCTTGACAAAGAAATAATATTATTTTGCTATGTTTAAGATCGTTGCAATTTACTGCAATTTGCGTCAATCTTCGATCTAATTAAGGATAAAAAGATCTAATTGCGGTTGGAGCTCGTTAGAATGTTGCAAATATCTGCGCACATAATTTTGCGCTGTTGATATACTTTTGCTGGCGCGTATATGTATGCATAATCAAGTTACTCGCGGAGTAAAATTACGACTCCCAGGCGCGCGACGAACCGGCGAGCGGCTCTTCCTTTTCTGGGGACCGGTTCCGGCTGAACCGGGCCCCGAGATGTACGCGACACGCATGTACAGTAGGTACCAGACCGAAACCGAACGGCGTGGCGGCGCAGAGAATCGGCAGACCATGAATCGCATGGACGCGATTTGCAGAGATCCCAGCATGGAGTTATCTCCTAAATCACAGATATAATTTAGAATGTAATTTAGTTTGCAACAGATTGCGAATACTGTTGCGAGCACGTGGCTAAAAGTAAGTGCATTTCTAAATATTTTGTACGAATTTATCGCAGCGCAATGACCGTTTCTCCCGGAAGAGTGAGAAAAGGTGTGGCTTATTCGATATGTAAAAATCAATCGAGTTAAGCCTACAAAGTCAGGTTTACAAAGTAGTTTATGTGGTCGGCACGATTAAAGAGATTTAATTGCGATGATTTGTGCATGGATTTAGTAGATATATGTTTAACCACTTGTTAGATTCGACATTTAAATATTCGCGACATGCTAATCTATAAATTTTCGCGTTTGTACATACATTTAATAAAAGTATGTAACATGCGGGAATGCAATTAATTATAATATATATAGAGTAACGCAATCAAAATTGTAAAAAATCATTATTTCGATTCGGATCACAAGATCGTTCGTAAATTAAGATAGTATCGATTAGAATGGCTTATCAAGAAACTACACATCTGCGGATATATTTAGAAGAGATTGTCCACACCATAGACATATAAGATAGACACCACATTGGCTGTATATACACTGGCATTGGCTGTGTCCACAACATAATGTGTGAGAGAGAAGAACCTTTCGATTTCTTGTCCTTTACTAATGTATGCACGCTCAGCATACATGAATAAAGGACAAGAAATCTTACAATTTTCTCTCTCTTTTCCTCTCACACAATTATATGGCATGGACGTCTCTTCTATCGGAAAATCCAGCCAATGTAGTGGAGTCTATCTTACATGTCTACGGTCCACACGCTGACAAGCGTGTGGTATGCGAAGAAGATATAAGGATTCTCTAGAACAAAAAAATTAAATTAGAAATTAAAAGTTAATAAATTGGAAGCTAAATGCCACACAGAAAAGAACTCGTTATAAAACCTAGGTATTGCACGGTTCACGTTCATGTACGTAAGTAAGGGGTTGAGGTCGTCGAGCATGGTGTCATTCTCATTTTGCCGCATCTGACATTAATGATTTAGGAAGGACGGATTGTTTGGTCTAATGATTTATACAAAAAATCTTATCGTTTCGTACCGCAACTGTCATTATCATTTTCTTGTAATTTTCCGGAGCCGATATAATACGCTTTATCTGTTCAACAACAACGTTTCATCAAAAAAAATCGGCAAACATTATAACAAGACGAAATAGCGATTCGGTTATGCAATTAATCCCGTTTTTATTTACGAGCGAGAAAGTGATATTGAAAACTGATAAAAGAATATTCGTTTGCGCAATAATTTTCTTATTGATCAAAATTATAATTATCCTCGCGTCTTTAGCATCAACAAGTGCGGACATTATTAAAGAATTAAATTTTACTTGATTTCCTTGCCCGTTCAAGATTAGCAATCGAGATTCAAAATTTATTCAAAACTATCGATCGAGATTTATCTCGTAATAACCCTGTCAGGCCCTTGATTACCGCACGTTCGCGGATAATGAGTCTTCGACGCGCCTCGTTGCGTTTCCTATTCATCAACTCGACGATCGATCGGCGCGTTGCACTTTTCTCTTCAGGCACAACCGCCGCGTGCTCGAACTCGATATATTTGGCGGCGGTATTTTTATCGTTCCCGAAGAGAGATCGCAGAACAGGCTTTAAACTCAACGGACTTAATTCCCGATGTGACGCGCCTCGTTACATCTCTATTCACAGCTCTAACGCGCTTTTTCGAGCATGCATGTTGCATGCTCCAGCGCGATAAATCCATCCGCGATATTTTTATCGCGAATACAAGGAGATGAAACCTCTCATCGAAGTAATGATCGGGTTGGCAAGCCATTCATTAATTGTCGTAAACAGTTAGGTAAACGTTATATAATGAGCTGTAGACTGTTGAGAAGATAATGTTTATTGAAATGCTTTTTGCTGCAATGTCTTTGGAACATCGCGAAGTATTATTTTCTGGAACATTCATAACTCAATATAGAAAAATAATAAACGGATTTTACGTTATAAATTTTCATAAAAATAATAATTCACGATGTAAATGATTCTTTAATATAATATTAAAGAATTATTTACATCGTTAATCATTACATCAATTATATACATATATACATATGTGTATACTGATAATTATCAACGATGGTCAACAACGTGGTTTTTCTCGCTGCTGGTAATACGAGCAGCAGAAAGAAACGGTCGTACACGTGTCAACGGCAGCAGTTTATCATTTGGCCTCTTCTGTTTACACTTGCGAGGCCATGAGAAGGAATACGCGACACACGATTGCAGCGAATGTCCGATATGCACGAGTTCGATAGGCGATCGAACGCAGTTGTGAAAGCGCACTTTTCTGCGCTTCAATTGATATACTGACGATATACACAGTTCATAATTTTTATAACATAAAAAATTAGTTAATGTTAATATTAAATTAATTAAATTATAATATTAAATTTTTATAATTAATAAGTACTTCTTATATTTTCGAAATAAACATTCATCTGTAAATAATTTTCACTCACGACAAGAAAAACAATTGATAATGATTATTATGGTAATTCTCATTTCAATATTTAATAACTGTAATCGACTACTAGCTATTTATATGTAATAATAATTCTATGATACGTTTACGTGACGCGATCTAGTTTTATATCTAAATAGAATAACACGTTTTTGCAAGATAAGATGATCACGTTAATATCATCAGCATTTTTTAATCAGTCATGTATGCCAAATGCATTTATCTCCTATGTCCTCTATATAAATTGCATTATTATTTGCATGGATAAGCTTGCTCTTGGGTCATCTTACGTTTATGTCACACTTATCTCTATTTCTTTTTATATTTCAATCTCGTTATTGAAATATTTGGACTATATATATATGAAACTCTTTTCGATAATTTTTGGAGAAATAACTTATTATTATTCACATATGTTGCGTTATTTCTTTAAGATATACA